AGCAGCCTGGGTGGCCGGGTTACCAAATGAGGCGGCGGAGTGGGATACGTTGGCCGACCCGTAAGGAGGATTCATTTGGCCCATTTGACCCATTGGAGGGTAGGGACCAGAAGCAGCCCCAATGCCTGAGGGCAACGCGTAGGTGCTTGGGGGCCCACCAAATTGCTGGCTGAAGGCACCGAAGGCACCGAAGGCACCTGCACTAGAGGCGAAAGGGCCTGGACCTGGGGTGCTAGTGATGGATGGGGGGCCCATTCCGAAGCCCGAGGGGGGTTCCATGGGAGACGGAAAAGCGGAATCAGCCACAACAGCAGCGCCGGAGCGGGGACCACCACAGCGAAGGCAGTTGATGTTCTTTGCGAAATTGTGGTAGCCACAACCTTCTGCACCGCACTTCCAGTCACCAGCTCGGAATGGGACAACGCCACCGTTGCCGCCCATGCCTCGCGAGTGGCCTCCATGGCCTACATGGTGTCCCATATGATGTGGTGGGGGCATCATCGATGGTGGGCCGTAACCGTAGCCTCCATATGCCATTGGGTCCGGGCCAGTGCCAACAGCTGGGAAGGAACAGCGGAAGCATGTAGTACGACGCTGGAAATTGGAGAATCCGCAGGACGGGCAAGTCCAGTCACCAGGGCGGGGACGATTCTTACTGGGAGGGAATGGGGTAAGGATTTCAGCAGCATGATCCAGGACGCGGCTAGAGGAAGGGGATACTTCGATGGCTTTGTCGTTGAGAGCACGACCGTTCATGCAAAGGCTCTCCGCAGCCTATATACAAGGAAAAGTATAATTAGAATCGGTTACAAGCAAGCCGTTCGGAAGAAAATGATAAGAAAAATATTTTTTTATAACACATTACGTACCTCCTCGTGAGATGAGAACACCGCAAATCCAGTTCCAGTGGGCTTGTGCTGGTCAGGCGTTCTCAAGGTCCAAAAAGCAATTGGACGGCCTCCAAACTGGGTATACCAACTCTCCAGCTCGGACTGGGTGGTGTCGTGCGGAAGGCCACTCATATGAAGGACCTTGCTGCGTTCAGCCAAAAAGGCACGGACATCAGCTCGTGCATCCATGGGGCGGGTGAGGATCTCAGGATGCTCGTGGGGCGGCTGTGACTTTCTAATCAACCCGTGGAGGACTCGAGCCAGAGTGATTGCCTCCTCCATGGCACGTCTTGGTGAGGCAGGAGCCAGGGCCTGGAGATGGAAGGGAAGATTATGTTTGATAGGTGCGGAAGACTGCATGGGCTCAACCTCGAGAGCAGCACAGATGTTGGCCAGATCACTAGGGCCAAAAGGGAGGGATTCCGGGTGGTGCTGCTGCCATCGCTGATATTCCGTCCGCAGGTCAAAAGTACGCGAGTGTTGCAGGTACGGGGGAAGGACTACGGCTTTGTCTCTGGCTTCACGGGGGAGCTGGACACGCATATCCCAAGAGTCCAGAGTGACGAAGGAAAACTCGAAGTTCTTTGAGAGCAGGTGCTCTTGAGCAAAGGCATCAAACTGATTGATGGCATCCCGAAAAGTTCCTGCCGAGCGGACATGTTCCCAGGTAAGGGTGGTCAGGCTTGCTAATCGCTATGGTTAGTCCATATGATTTGGCACAAATGAATGTGAGAGGATTTCAATCCTTGGGCTTTGAGGGTGGAGATGTAAAAAAGAAGAAAAGGGAGGGAAGGAGTCAGACTCACTACATAGGGGAGTTATGGGGGTGTTAACTGGTTTTACCAGCACACTCTCGCGATGAAGCTGTTTTTTATAGTTATAACGTTAGTCAAACAAAATCACTATCACAACATTCAAGAGAGCAACAGTGTCGTAACCAAACAAGAAAGGAAAGGGGAAAGAAAAAAAAAACCAATTAGACATAAAATCTATAGTTATAGATACTCTTTTATCCCTCTTTCTGTAGTTTCTTCAAAGGAAATAAAAGCTCACCTCCTTGCAGTTTTCCGCATCCAACAATATCCAGCCCAGTTCGATAACTTCAGCGGAGTCCTTGGTGACGTATACGCCATGTTCATCGCAGGTGGTAGCAACATGGATAACGACATAACGGTCCAACTTCGGGGAGGGCGGATGCATAGCAGCCATTATCTCTGATTCGGACTGATGAATTGATTGGGGAGGAGGGTGAGGTGAGGTGGGTGAGGTGTCGGACCAGTAGGAACACGAGGGATGGTGGTGGGTATGTGGAATTGGTGATTATCTGGTCGAGACGAGGGGGCGCTCTAAGCTATTTTTATTTATATTTTTATTTTTCTCTAAATACTACTGGCAGAGAGAAGCAGCAGCAGCAGCAGCAGCCAGCAACACACACACAGCAACAAACGAAGGCGAGAAAAGAGTGTGAGAAGAGAGGGGATAAGGGGGATAATGGAGAGTAGGGATAGAGAGCGTGAAGACCGAGAGGATGGGTTGGTGTCTGTCCCTCTGTGTGTGTGGAGAGGATAGACACACGGTGAGAGGGGGGGTGGGAGGGTTGTGGGTGGTGTGCGGTGGTTTGCAGGATATGGAGATGTTGACGTTGAACATTGAGGTTCAAAAAGATCCAAAGATCAAAAAAGTTCAGAAATTCAAAAAAGTTGAGGTCGGAAGTTACAGGCGCTGGGGCGAGCCAAGCACTTGCCGTTTTGGGCCGGGGCTGGCTCCTGACGAACAACTTCATCACTCACTAATAACTAGTCATCTGGTTTTCATTTATATAGCAACTGCTAACACGCAATATCATATACATTATATATATATCTGTCTACGCAGCACTCGCACGATAATATAGTGAATTGCTATTGGTTTCTCACAGGACATACTCAATCCACCCAAATATTCCCGAACATATGGAGGGTTATATAGTTACCGAGAGATCCGCGATAAACTCACGCTCTAACGCTCTCCTTGCTCAAGCTGTTTATGAGATTAAATGATACAGGTGCTCAGCAAAGAATAATGCTCACTTCTTTGCTCGGGAAGATCTGGTTAGTCGAGTCGGAAAGGAGTCACCGAACCGCTGACTGCGCGTTTTCGTCAAATTCCACCCGCCAAGGGTTCTGGGATGATTTGTTCCGCTGTCATTAACGTTTCTTGCACCATTAACTAACTAGGGGCACGGAAATGTCATATTTAACTCAAACGGATAACTTGTTTGAAAAAGTGGAAAAGTGAAAAGAAGGGCGGTGTGAATAAATCAAGCACCACAAGAGAAGTACCCAAACTGCCCACGAATTCCATGGTTATTCACAGAAATGAGAGTATGGTACCCATATCCAACATCCCATTTTTCTCCAATGCGCTCCACTCTTTTCCTCCCATTCCATCCCTATCCGGCAAGGTTCTCGCCAGTGTTCTCCACGTGCTGCCGCTCATACCCGTCTTTCTGCAGCCATGACCCCGGCCTTTGCATGCAAAGTGTGCAAGTGCAGACTTGGGCAAAACAGGTTCTACAGATTACTCTCGGCAAGGTTTGCGTGCACAATAGGATGGACACACCGTATCAGAGCCATCTTCCATCTTCCATGGTAATTAAAGAATTAAACTCAAAAGGCACTGCAAGCTTACTTATTAACTTGTTGAAGATTCATGAAAAGAAGAAGCGGACGATTTCAAGCTGATCCCCGTTTTATCATTAATGGGATGACATATTGTCCCACACCCCATATCCCCCGGATACCTATTCCATAGCTCCTCTAAAAGCGTTGAAGGTTGTACTCATCTCTAAAATCGCTGGTTTTCAGTGGTCAATAAAGCTAGACTCTTATCTATGTGCTGTACATACATACACACGACGCCCACGGTTCAAGAGCACGAATGACACAACCACCATCATGAAATACATTGATAGCTATGGAACGAGAGAAGTGGCTTCGTGGTATCCTTCCTAAATATTAAAAAGTACTCATCATACTCCTTCCAGATATACTTAAGCGCAGAACCGGGGAAGATATGTAATTGCAGGGCGTGGGAGGCAAATTGAAATACACAGATAACTTCCCAGCACGAGGCCAAAGCACATAGTCAAGTATGTCTCGCCACAACTCCAAGAAGATCGTCCCTCAATCTCCGGCGATGAGAAGGTGAAACCACTTGGCTTGATTTGCACTCTAGAAAGCCTGTTACAAGCTTAGTTACGTATCTATATTCTACATCTCTACCATTCTGGAGAACAATGTTAATTGCCGATTTAGCGTTCCCATTTTCTCTCACCACGATACATGGTTTAGACTGAAAGAGCGGCATGATGCCAGGCCTGTTTTGCCATAAGAGCATATCAACATAGAGAAAAATGGCTTCACCATTTAATCATAAGCAGACAATGTCTATACATACGAACAAGCATGGGAAGGTCGAACTTAGGTGGGCGAAATATAATGTATCAACATAATCATTTATTCAACAGTTTCATTCCTGTGCAGAGCCTGCAGAACTATTTAAAGTTACCTACGGTGATATTTGGCATCATAGTCTCATTAACATGGAGCCAAATGCATGCACCTGAGGAACAAAAGAAAATCAAAGGTCAAAAACATGTTTGCGGAAAGGGGGAATATTCGAAACCAACAGAAAATGCCAAACAACGTGCTATCAAGAGAATCAAAAAAAGGGTGGGGACTCGCAGAAACCAGCCAAGGCCACGTCAATGAGAAGACAAACAATTAAAGAGGAAAAAACAACCCAGCCCCGAAAGATTGAACGAAAAAGTACAAAGCTCCTCCTCAGGTTTAGCACCACATTCTACCAAGCTACTCAGGTATCCAGGCCATTATCCCCTATCGTCCCAATAATATCGTTAAGCAAGTGAACGCAACCAAAACAAACCAGCCAAATCAAGCCAAATCAAGCCAGATGAAATCAAACAAACCCAACCCATTCAATCCAAATCCCATATAGCAAACGGGAAAATCCAAGAGCAAAAGGTGGGGGGAAGAGAAAAAAGGCCAACGGCATAACCCAAGACGTCCCCAAAGCAGAAGTGAACATGGAAAATATCCCGCTCCCTGATCACCGCCACAAATCCTGCTTACTTCCCTCCCGTCGATGCATCCACGGCCCACCACCACTGCCGCCACAACCACTGCTACTCTTTGGCCTCTGCTCCTCACCAGGTAACGCAAGGAACCCACCGGCCCCATTACCAACCAACACGCTCCTGCGCGCCTCGTCACCCCACGCCGGACTCAGCTGCGCCCCATGGAAGCTAACAGGGCGCGAGCTACTCCCACGCCGTCGACCGCCACCACCGGGGCCCCCCATGCCAGGCATGTCAAGCGGCTCGTACGCGGTGAAGTTCCACTCCGCCTCTTTAGCCCCCTTGCTATAGACGGACATGGCCTGGTTGAGGCCTTTTATTCCAGCTCCACCAGCTCTACCTTTTCGACCCATCTGCGGGAGTGAGGCGTACATGAGGGTTTCCGGGAACGAGGCGTCGCGGACGTATAGATCCAGCAGGGACGGGAGGGAGCCAGCAAGCAGGGAGGACATGAGGTATTTGTAGTAGTGGGCGGCGTGATTTTCGGATTTGGCTGTGATTTCGTAGTGGAGGAGACGGAGGGAGCGGGACGCGAGAGGGGGGACGTTGTCCTGCACGAAAGCGTCTGAGATGTACTGGGTGACTGAGAGGCTTTGGAGGCGCGGGCTGTTTTCGAGGATGTGGTGCAGGGAGCCGGGGGGAATGCCGGTGTTGGAGAGGGTGAGGTGTTTGAGGGCATGTCTGTTGTTATTGGTGCTGAAGTAGTCGATGAATGCGCGGTAGGTGATACCTGGGGTATCGTGGAGGGTGAGACGTTCGATAGGGGGGAAGGGGCATAGAGATGGGGAGTCCTTGAAGATGAGGCTTTCTAGCTCGCTTAGATCTTCCAGCTTTAGATCTGTCATGCGAGGGAAGTGGCTCAGAACCCGACGGAGAACGTCGATTGAAGTATTTAGGCCGCATAGCTCTAACACCTCGAGATTGGGCCATACTTTTATCTGTGGCCGCGGAGGCTTGTGGCGCTGTTGCCAACCATATATAAATTGGTCTACGTTTGATAATTCATCCTCTTGCTGGATAGCACTGAATGTTTTCTCGGAGCCCCTGGCATATCGCATGCGTCGAATATCGGGACAGCGAGCAATCATTGTTTGCTTGAGGATCATGGTTGACTCATCGTCACAGAAAAACCCGGTGGGCAAGTCGACATATCGTAGGTTGGGTAACATCAGCACTGTCTGTGCCAGAAGTAGCTTACCGGCTTCTCTTGTCATGTATGGCATCCGCAATGAAAGGACCAGCTTTCCAATGCGCTGTGATTCGCGCACTGTTCTGCTGAACAATGTCAAGCGTGTCATGGGTGCGTCTAGTGGTTCTGAATTGTGATCAAGAAAGGAGTTCTTTTTTCTCTTCACGGACAATTCGTACTCGAGGTCGCAATAGTGGACAGCATCGATACGGACATTTTGGTAACTATTAGATGTAGCGGCGCAAGGGAATAGTTAGCGCTGCAAAAAAAAAATAAAAAATAAAAAAAATAAATCACTTAAAATATTGGATATATTATTGATAACTCAATATCATGCAGGAATAGATATGGACTATCACAAACAGCAGATCGTGGGCGGGAGGGTGCCATCTCCTACACACAAGGGCACAATGAGCGAGGTCCCGCATTTCACAGAGCATGCAGCCGTCTTCAGTCATTGACTCCTCGGAGGAATTGTAGGTGTCGTCCAGAGTATGGAGGCAGACATAACCGAAGATCCTAGAGAGGATTTCTGGAGACAGCTCTCGAGTGAAGTCCCTACGCGGGCCGATGTTGGGGGTAGGATATTGTGGATTGTTGTGTTCATAGTGGTTGGCTTTGTTGCTGTATTTCTCATGTATACTGTAGCCATAGTGGTTGACACTCTTTCTTTTGCCTTTAGAGCGGAAATTCTTGAACAGTTTCATAATGCACTTGACCCTTTCCTCTATTGGTGATGTGATACAGACCTTAGGATATCTGTGCGTGTATGTGTATGTGAGTAAAGGATGTGCGAATCGCGACTTGAGTGGGGGGCAGAAGAAGAAAGTGGTGATGTCCAGTAAACATCAAAGCAAATGCCAGCACTAAGTAATAACTAATTAATGCATACACTACATGGAATAGGTACAGTACCTAGGTGTACATGTGCAGATATGTTGAGGGACCACTTGGGGAGGATGATAGAGACTGCAGCTGAAGAAAGTTGGGGCGAAATAGTGGAGTTTGTGTGGTTTAGTTTAACTAAATATCTTTTAGTTTAGTGGGGTTGCTGTTAAACATGGTTTTAACCGTCAACTTGGCACCTGGAGATGGAGTAAAATTTAACTTTGTAGTTTATTTATCTAATTGTTACTTTCATTTATCTTTACTATTTTTTTGAATTAGAACTTGCGGCAGTTTATCTGCTGTCCACTCCTATAAAACTGCTATTTTGTTACACTGATCAAGAGAAAGATGTTCTTGCCCATCATCATGCCCACAAATGAATATCTCCATTATATTCATTAATTTCATGTCTTCCTCTCTCATTAACTCCTGCGTACGGAGTACTCCGTACTTAACCCCTTGGAGCATGTCCTTGGTGATTCCCTCCTCTTCCTCCTCCTGTTGAAAATGTCTGTCGAGGATTTCTCTCTGCAGCTAAATAATCAGCACCTCCTTGTCATTAACAAGCACACACCAATCAATCAGCCTAACAGCCACACTAGAGAACAATTCCAACTTCGACAAGCGCTATTTGTTTCTAAATTATAACTCCCCCTTCAAACTTATCCCCTTATCCCATCATCCATCCTCGGGCCCTTTTTCCTTTGATGTCGAACATGGCCAGTGAATGCCCCAACTTTGTAGTGCCCCAAAATAATGCCCACCCAGCTTGTTTCGGACTTTTGAGACCACTCTGCCGCTCAAGGGCCTCTCCATCCCTTGAGTCCAAATCCCCTGGTTTCAGAGTAGGTAAAGCCCCTGGTACCAGCCATGCTGTTCGATGGCTGGTTGGTGCCTAGTTAGTGAACCATGCCATAATTCCTTCGTGACAGATAATCTTGAAGATGCCATCCCATAAAAAAAAAAAAAAAATCAATGCAAATATTATCAGCCCCATGCACTCTGATTATTTATAACGGATGTGCTTCCATGAATAATGAAAACACTTTTACACAGGTCGAAACTGCACCCGATGCTGAGCTTTCTCGCCATGAATCTTTTGCCATATGTGGTTGAATATCTGAACCCTACAATACCCGAACCTGCTTACAGGGGGCTAATAATATATGTGGCGACTCATAGGCCTTTGGAATATAAAATGATATCTATTGAAGGAACATACAAGCAGTTGCGGAACCAATTATCTACTCACCATTGCCACAGCTACCTTGGGCATTCTGACACAAACTAACGTGCACTCGTCCAGTTCTTCCAAGGGAGGAAAATGCGAATCAAATGTTCCTCAACAAATAGCGGTGACACTTAGGGTTCTCCAACGTTTTTCGTTTCGGTGCGATTATCTATAGCTAATACATGTTCTGGATATGGTACAATAAATGCCGGCGGTTGTCTGTCAGTCCGCTCTGCGAACCACAATGACCCATATTGCGAGGTCGTTGAGTGGGTATACCCTTATGTATTCCGCTTTGAGTGTAGATGAGTAGCGGATTTGTTCTGGAACCGCAAACAGACTCCAGTTTACATATCCACCCTCAACACTAGGTTATCATATACTGACTCAACATCTGCTTACCACATGAATCAACGCAACCCCTCTCACTCCCCAAAGCAGTATCGCTTATCATCCCTAACCGCGTAGAACCTAACCACCCTAGCCTTCTCCTTCTCTTAACCTCAGCACACCAAATAACTACCACACAAAGCTGCATTTCAGTATCTTTACCCCTTAACAAACCCTAGGTTAAAATCTATGCTAGTTCTGGAGACATCAACAATGACTTCTCCCTTTTTAACTTCCAACAGCGTACTGCATGCCGTCCTGGAACTGAGGAACACATCTTATAGTTAGACAGGTATGGAATAACCAACTTTACATTCTTTGCGTAACATAATCGGTTAACTGGAAGGACCTGCATAACTCTTATTCGGGGCTTTTCTTACAGTCCAGAGTTATTATCGGCGTACCGATTGACCAGCCATTTACTTTCAGCTTCATATGTTCGTCCCGGCCTTCCCTGTAGGGCACAGACATGTCTGAGATCCTGAATCGTGCCAGCACATATTCTGCTGGGGTTTTTCTTGGTTGGCTGTTGTCTTTGCGATTGAAACACCCCAGTCTGATAAACGGGACGGTTGTGTTGTAACTTCTGTTGCCTTAGGGCAATTGGTGTGCGGTAGAAAATCGCGATGGGGAAGTTGCTGGAGGGAATGTCTAGTACCGCTGAGACCGTTTCTGCGTTACAAGAATTCATAATCGCAAGTCGCATCTAGGAGCCGAGGGACGCACTAGGAATACTCCTTTATGATTTTAACACCCTTGTGCGGGGTACTCTCATCGTGACCAAATGCCTGGACGTCCATGAATGAAGCTCTTTTCCCTTGTCATGGGTTATGATGAAGGTTCCATAAGAGCAGTGGCAATTTGGAATGTTAATACAATTCTTTAATGCAATAGTACTCCTCGTGGAATCGGTTTGATGGTTCATATGAAGAACAGAGTTTCGGAGTTGTCGTAGCCACTGTGCACCTGCGTAGCAAACTGGCTCTGTAGCTACTAGAGACCAAGGTCCCCGGGGAGGGTTAATAAACTCAACAGCAGCGTCAATTTGTGACCCCGCCCATTCGCTCACTCTGAGGTCACACATCATCGATGAGCATAGAAAAGGGGCCAGAGAGGGTAAATCTATAAGCAACATATCATGTACATGAACAGCATGTAGTGTCAAGACATAAAAGAGGGGGAAAGGAAGTGTTGAAAACATCAGAAGCCCCGGCAAAATGGAATAAATAGTAGATACTGAACAAATGACATCAAGCCAAACAATTTAACCACATCAACTATGAGAATGAAGTAAAGGGGTCAAATATCTATTTTTAAAAAGAAAAGCGACGGTTAGAGGAAGAACTTTCCTGACAGCTGTGCTGTACTGTACATTGATTAACATGAATAAAGACATCTATACAACGAGCCGCGCAGCAGCCACCATAATTTTGAAGTTGAACAGGCAAAGGAATGATGTGAAGGAGAGAGAAGAGAAAAAGGGGTAAAAGACACAGAAGCCGCAAGTTGAACTATGGTATCATCAAACTTAAAAATAAAAAGAAGAAAGAAAATAAGCTTATTTAACCTTTTAAACTTCTCACGTTTTCAGCAAGGTTCGATCCATTGGTTATTCGAAGTGCCAACTTCAGATGGTTCCTTCCTAAATCGGAACCCAACCGCAGTTTTGTTTTCCTTTAAACTTCACGTCATAACTTCAAGATCTCCAAACCATCATCTGATATAGAATGCAATTACAAATCAAGGTGCCTCATGAATAATGTGCGGGCGTATTGCGTCTGCAGATGGCTTATAGAAGCCAAGCAGGGAATTAGGTTGGTTACCAGGACCGTTATCTGGCACTTCGGAGGGTGATGTATTTTCAAGCATGGGAAGCTGGATTGTGGGCTACATCTTGCATCAGCATCCCAAATAATACATATAAATCAATGGCAATCCAGTAGGATCAGCAAGCTTACATCCTCTTTTCTCCACCTGAAAATACCGAGAAATCCGCCGGAACTGGAACCAGAGGCAGGAGCAACATGAGGTCCAGTGCCAGAACCCCTGCTGCCGAAAGAGTTTTTTTTCAAAAAATGATAGAGAAGAGTGGCAAGAACTATTGCTACAATGCCCAGTGGGATGCCAACCCCAAGGCCGACTTTTATACCGATATTTTTATTACTCTTGGTTTCTGCAACAGGTGGATCAGATGTTTTTGCCCCAGGGGACCCGGTGACGACGGCGGGGGGCGAGGTAGAAGACGTGGAGGAAGACGCGGTGGTGGTGGCGGGCCGTGTGGCGCCGAGTGGGGTGAAGAGAGACGTGGATCCGATGGCTGTGTTGAGGGAGACGGGAGACCCCACGAGTTCTGAGAATGCGGGGAGGAAGTCGAGGATTTTTTGCGTATTGTTGTTGGTATCACAACTGCAATTGGGACCATCATTGCAACAATATGTATCATTACCGCATCGCTTGACGGAGTTGTGGATGTGGTCGCCTGTTTTTTTCAGGAGGAGATATCAATCTACTTGTTTGGTATGGGGAACTATGGCATCGAGAAGGATAAGAGAGGCAGTACGGACGGAAGAAGCAGTAAGACGGACAGGCGGGACTATTCCACGACTTATCCGTACAACTACCTATGACATAATACGACCCGTCATAGAAAGCACACATGTTGTTCGTGGCGCAAACATAGGTGCTTCCGCCGCAGCAGGAAGATTCGGGATTCTGCGGAAAACACGGGGCATCGTTTTCTTCGACTTCGCCGTTTGGTAGGTAGCATTTCCGCTCAGCATGAGAGGGGGAGGAGAGGATTAGAGGGGAGAGAAAAGCAGCCAGCAAGGTCTGGCGAAGTTTCAAGGGAGAAAACAGGAGGAAGGCGTGTTTCATTCTGGTCGGATGAATAGAAAGCGATCTTAGATTGTTGATAGCAGACAGTGTGGAGTGGCGCGGCTCCGGTTATCACAACAAGAGACACAAAGCTACGCTGTAATGGGCGCATGCAGAAGGATGAGTGAGATCTATAGAACGGAACTCGGGGGTCGGAAGGGGGCCGTGAAAATTTATAGTGATATATACAGAAAGGCGAAAACAGAGAAGACAGAGAAAACAGACCAGAAACAGGGCTGGGGATCGAAGAAAAATTCAGAAATTTAAGAGTTGGAAAAGCTGACAGAAAGAGAGGTTACCAGCAACAGGAGAGATTACTTGAATTAAGGAAGGAACTGAATAATAGTAATAAAGAGCGAAGGCCGAAATAACTAGGGATTTAAATAATAAAAGAAACCAGAGAAATCCCATCCCAATATCAATCCCTTTTGAGCTAGACAGATGCAAACATTGGGAAAGCTAGCAGGGGAATTTATAAATGTAGCCTAACGACCGCAAGAGCGGTTTCAAGAGGAGATGGATGTCACCTAACTTGTAATTAAAATAAATATACTCATCGAGGTCAATTGGCTAAATACTACGTAATTATTATCTAACTACCATAAAACTAACTACTCCGTAGTTAATTGCTCCTTATGTATATAATTTATCTACGGCGCACGACAACCATGATTTTCTCCTGCTTGATCCAGCCTTCACACGTCCTCGCCTCTGGGAGCACCACCCATTCGATTCTAATTTATAAAACCCATCCAGCCACCACTAATTGTCATGACGTTAAAATAATGCGCATTAGCTGTGCATTGGTGTATGCCCTTCTGGATTCCCTGTTGCCAAAAATACCCCATATGCACTCCAGAAGAAACACTCCAATAACTTATATAACATAGGAGAGCCGCAGATGGCCCCACTGAATAAACTTTAGCAAGAGTCGCGATTTCATGTAATTCTACGTGGCTATTGGTTGGGTGGATTTGCGATCCTTGAGTTCAACCTTCATGGAATGGTCCAGGATGCCAGATGGAATGGAAATCTAAAACCAACCATCCCCGATCCGACAGACAGACATGGCGGAGAGGAAACATTTCAAGATCGACTTTCGAGAGTTGAGAGCTCTAGAATTAAGTGCATATCTCTAGGGGCCAGTGAGGATGGTAGACATAGTGTTATACCATTTAGTGCAGATAAAGTATGCGTAATGCGTTGGCGATGTATCAGCTATGATAGACTCCGCCCAGATGAATAACTGCTAAGAAAATATCTAGGTTGGAGAGAAGATTCAAAGAGGTACCAAGAATGTGGAATGGCCATGATGCGAACAATAACTACCATCCGTAGCTACACGACGTACAACCATATAATTTGACACTTCGCAACAACCTTCGAACCAACTAAATATTCCAAGTTTGCAATTTACAGCCGAAGAAGAAGAAGAAGAAGAAGAAGAAGAAGAAGAAGAAGAAGTAAAGGGGTTTGTTTAAAAATAGAACACAGAAGAGACTTGGGCATTATCATTACTACATTTGACACCATCCCCGTAACAGGCCTGCTAGCTTGCCCTGCCCCCTTCAAAAATCTACTGGAGCCTCTTCTCATATGGTCAAAACACTCACAGAGTAACATATATAACTAAACTATCTACTAGCTAGCGTGAATCAGCTGTAATCTACCTGGTATACCTAGTTAGTTAGTCGAAGCCAACAAGGAGTCCCGCACTGCGTATAAGCAGAGGACATATTTCGTTCATATGTGCATGTGCATGTGCACGCAGAGATACCTCTGACGTTGCTGGCTGAATCGGGTTTCGGCATGCCCCAAGGTTGGCGGCAATCAGCCCGATCCACAGCGTTTCCCTCGGGGCAGCAGCCTTAGTTGACTAGAGCCTGGAACAGCCCGTGAAGTTGAACTGTGGAATGAAAGAGTTTTATTCTTTTTTTTTTTTTTTTTTTTTTTTTTTTTGTTTTGTTTTGTTTTGGTCGGATTGGGGTTGCCCAGGAGAATGACGGCGGCGATATGGCAATATACCTAAGCGGGCGTGTGTGGGAGTAGTTATCTGTGGCAGCATATCTTCGGTAGGAGTTTTGTCCCGGCGAGTACACTTGTTCCTGTGAAGAGCATGGGATCTGTTTTTGGTTGGGATAAGGGCGGGTATGAACGTTGAGCTGAGGGGGAAGAGCCAGGAGATTGAGGAGGATATGAAGAAGTAGATAGGGATGGGGATGGGGATGGGAAGTAGATACCCGGTCTTGAAGTGGAGATAAGGCTAAGAGGAGTTTGACGAAGAGGTAGGATCGGTTGGCTAGGTGAGGTGAATGGAGGACATTATGACAGAGGTGGATTGTGGATTAGCTATAACTGTAGACAACGTTCCGGTTGCTGCCGTAATTTTCCAGGGATAGACTATGAAGCTACGCTTAATTCATTCATACATAAATGGATTGATCAATGATTGCGCTCGATATTCACCCCTGCTTAGAAAGCACCCGCTACATAGTGATTACCGTGTGGGGACCTGGGGCATGTTCTGCGTTACATTCCGTAAAAGAAAAATTATGGGTCTCCGTGTGCTAGATTCCGTAGTCAGCTACTCTTTCTCTTGCCAGATTTCACTCCCTTCGGTAGCTTCTGTCCACTTCGGTAGGCTTGAGTCACTTGGCATCAGAGGAATCAGGGGAAGAATCATCAAATCCCCTTAGGTGAGAAGTCTACGGGTTCCCTCTCCCAACCCGGTAATCTGGCAACAAATTCACGTGATGGCCCTGACCCTAACGGAACCTGTAATTTGCTGACTAATCCTTCTCAGCCAATCACATTTCCTCGAATCTCGGCTACCACTAGCGCCGTCCTGCCTGCGCCATAAATACCTCCGTCGCCCGCCAAACCTTTTCTACTCTTCTCTTTTCCTTCTTTTCTTCCCCATCCAAGTGCACGGGTTTTACGTTACCAGTGAAGGTTCGCCTGAGGCAACGTTTTTGCTAGTTGAAAACTACAACTACTGACCGCTCCATGTTGGTCTTCGGATCGGCTGGGAATTTTTGAAACAATTTATGATTCAACCACTGCTGGAGACATGTCTTGTGTGTCTTCGGCTGAAATGGTGGATTTCACTCTTACGATGGCTTGATGATTTTAAACGTCAGTCGCTGTTGTATATACTATCTTATCTGAAGCTTTTTTCGCGTCTTGTTTACGCGGCTTGGATAGGGTTTGTTGATCTTCTTTTCACTATGGATGTCCCCTTGAGGGATGCGATGGAGAAGAGATGATTTGTGGTGAGCTCCTGGGGGCACCTTACCAACACGGCACCGAGCTGACCTTGGAGGACAAACTCGGATAATCAAAGTGCGGTATATGATTTGGTTTGACAAGCGAGGCTTTTCGTTGTCATGTCTTTCATGTCTACTTGTAATATCTCAAGAAGGGTGCAACGCACATAATAGTTCTGAGTTCCCGTTTATTCGATGAAGGACGGCCTCCTGGAAGATACAGAACTTGCTTCAGCAGATGCTGTATGGTACTTTGATATATGTGCTGACTTATACTCTTTGTCCGTCACTACGAGGAACTGATTCCTCTTATCACTAGGCGCCCTGTGCAGAGTTCCCGTCTGCCGCTTCGAAGTGCTTTATATGCGTCTAGGCCCTTCCCAGGTGTAGAGATACACGTTCTAGAAACCTTTTTTCGCTCACAGAGAATCGAATTGGTGTGATAATTGAAGGATCGAACCCCGAGAAATATATTGAAAGGCGGGCAAGGCTAAAACGGGTAGGAGTCCAGCCTTGGGAAGTTAAGACAAAGAGGGTATGTGGAACCAAATGGGGTTTTAGGACGCAACAATCAGAACAGGATACCTCCTGTAGGGTATGAAATTGTGAAGCAGAACTGACGGCAAAGAACATGTGCGCCAAGATGTTGGTGGGCCTTCAGAGGCCTCCAGCGGGTAGTACCCGGAAGACAACGAAACGGGTTGGGGGGGAAGGAATTAACCCCTACATACATAAAAAATTACACTCATAAATCAATAACACCACTAATGAGAGACCTCGCAAAACGGAAAGAGAAACATAAAATCCCACCAAGTATGTCGAAGCACATTCACTGTAACCAGGGCCTACAGGATCGAATCAAAAAGGCAGACAGCCCCATTCTTCAACCCCTATCAATAACCGGTACAGGTATAGGCAGCTTTCCCCCAACCCCCTTCCCAACCTCCCCAACTTCAACCTCTCTCAACAAACTCCCCTCCACAAACTGGCTATCCTGGGAGATATCCAGCATCGGCTTCGAAAAATTGTTCCTGTCGCCCGTCGCCACACCATGGCCAACAGCCGGCGTGTGGCCATGCGAGGTACTGATAGACCGCGCCAATAAACCCGTGGGTGAGAAAAGGGGCTCCTGGCCTTGACTGTTCGGTTGTGTCGGGGAGGTCTCCGACAACAACGGCACAGGCGGGAAGGAGGAGTCGTGGTTATTAACCGAAGTGGCTCGTTGGCGGTAGCGGACACTAGTGCTGCGGGCCGTTGAGGAGCGGGCACCGGCGCCAACACCACCACTGCGACTAAATGACGACAGATGGGGAATGTCGGGCGAGGTACTGTGAGATTGAGAGAGTGAGGATGTGAGCGATGCTGTCGGTTTGCGCCAAGTGGTTGCGCTGGGGATGACGATTGCGCCTGGGAGTAACTCGGGGCTCGTGGCGGCCTCAACGAGGGGTTGGCCTGGGTCTGTGGCAACGCCACGGCCCTTTCGCGCGTGATGGACCGGCTCTTGGTATGTGGGAGTCAGGTCGACGAGGGGTTTGGGTTTCTGCTTGATGAACTTGGATCTGTTGAAGGAGGCGCTTATGCTGCCATTGGGGCTGGTGGGAATCGATTGGGCCGCGTAATCGCGACTGCTGCGGCGGCTTGAAGTGGGGGAATTGGGAGGTTCAGCGGCCAGGGTGCCTAGGAGTCCGTGGCCGGTGAAGGGCAGCGGGGGAGCTTCCTTTTCGCGGTCCTCAAGGGCTTTTTTGCGCTGGGAGTATGATTTGCCTAGTAGGCCTGTAGAAGTGAAAGGTTCGGCATCGGATTCGCTGATAGGCTCCTTAGTAGATTTGTTGGAGGATGAGAATAGCTGAGGGCGTCTTGAGCGAGTACGGAGGGAAGAACATTTGGCTATGGATACTGCTTTGGTAAAGGAATCCTTACTTACTGAGTCGCTTTCGCTAGACTCATACTTGCATGACGGAGGGTCCAGGTCTAGGAGCGGTTGAAACGTTCCAATGGAAGAATCCGAATTCCGAATATTGTTTGACCCATTTGGTATATTTCCGGATTGAGGAGATCTTGTACTTGGACTCAACGCTTGTTTCTCCTTCGTATCTCCCTCACCCATAACATTAACAAGATACCAGCTCCGCCACTGCTGCACAGCCTGATACCACCTAATCGCTGCCTGCTCATCATCCGTGGCAAAGTAGTGCACGAAATTCTCCGTGGTCAAAAACACGCTCAATTTCTGCTGACTTTTGATTGCGAAACATATCTTTTTCGGGACCTTAACACGTTTCGCGGTCTCCCGTGAGGAGAGTGAGTAAATGTCAAAGTCAGACAGGTGGCAGATATTCACAGATTCCCCTCCTTGTTTCTTCGCAATAACAACCTGACCATCTGCTCGCAGAGTAACCCAGCGTTTATACCACTTACCCGGGCGTTGGGAGTGGTAGAAATGGAATACAGATTCTGACGGTTGCTTACGAGGTGCTGATTTAACATCCAACCCCTCCCTTTCGCGCCTATCCGGTAGCCGTGACACTATCAAGTGGTTCTGCGAATCGGTGTCCCATGAATTCATGACGTCACGAGCGTGCTCGTATTTTCGTAATGGCCTCTCCAGGCCCAACTGCTTAAACGATTCTAAAAGGATACACGACTGTGGTTCGATGTTTTCCGGGAGACAGTTTGCTGCTGAATATAAAAGATCTTGTATCTGGGTATTGGGAGTTACTGGAAGGGAGATGGAAGAGTCGTTGCAGGTCACGAGGACCTTTCTTTCCCCAGCGTTCACGGCAGATACAGGCGCGTCGTTGCCAGAAGTCACTTTGACTTCCTCAGGGCGAATAAGCCGAGGGGAGGAGATCAGTGTTTTTAGTTTATCGCGATGATTATTATTATGATTATGATTATCGCTGTTGTTGTTTAACTTCGAGTGTGAAGTAGGATCCAAAAACATCATCCTCGACAGGAACCCACTGGTCTTCCCTTTCCCTGATTGTTGCTTTGGTTTGGGGCAGTGGTGTTTCGCCGCGGCCCTCTCGTTCGCAGCGAGTTCATCACTCGTGATGCGTTGGACATGGTCCTGATCACCCTGGATTCTTGGTTCTACAACAGTGCGTAGCCTGCTCGGCTTGGTTGGGGTATTATGTGATTTATTTGTTGCGAGTACTTTCGAGCGCTGGACATCGATACTCGTATGGGGTGGACGGGGTCGAGAATCTTCCATGCTGGATACACTACTGTTCCTCTCTTGGGGTAAATATTCTGTGGATGAGTTTGCATTTTCCACGCCGCTGTCCATCGATCTCGCACTCCACGAGTCATTTTTGATACTCTGATTCGGAGGTTGCACAGGCCCCTGAGGATAAGGGGAGAAGGAGGAATGCACAGTGTCTGAGTGGTGCTGGTGCCGCGTGGATCCTGCATCCTCTTTCGAGGTGAGCTCGTTCGGTCTCGTTTCGTGAATGTCTTGCAGGAAAGCCCCCTGCGTATGTTGACCTTTTGGTAATGTCACTTCTGCAGGAAGCGGAGGAGGTGGAGGCACAGAATTGGCAGCCTTCGTTGCACCAGGTTTCGCATGTCGGTATCTTGACATACTTCGCTTGATAGATTCACTCCGTGTCTTGGGGACCGAGGACGGAGGACTACTCTGAGCATTTACAGACAAAGGGGGTGGACTCGAGGGATCTGGGAAGGATTGCGCTGCCGCATGCTGGATCACGTTTGCCTCAGCGGCGTTCCTGACAGACCGATATCTAGAAAATTTAAGTGCTGTTTTGGGTTGGGGTTGTGTTTGTGTCATTGTGGGCGCAGTTAAAGTCAACAAGGCACTTGGATAATGTAGTTTTCAAATGTGGTCACCAATTCTTTTGCTTGTGTTTCATAAGGTGTCCATCGTATCGCACTCCCTGCCTCTGAAAATGTTAAGAATCTTCCCCGGATGGCCTTGGACGTATATTTCCGTGTGTTGTACTGCCAGGTCCCCCCGAGTCTCGCATTGGTCGCACAGCAGTCGCCAAGGCGACCTGATTTCAAGACAAATTGCCAAATTCCTGTGGCAAATATAAAAGACGAGCTGCGGACGCGAGCTATCACCTACGAGATATCGGACAGCAGTGGGATATCAATTGGACTGGAAAAGAAGGATGCTGCTCGTGTGGCGGGGAGAGCAGAGCGGCAGGCGGTGGTGCGTTGGTGCGCCACAGGGCGGGGGATTGCAAAATGAAGAGGCAAAAATGAGCTGGCAGAGGGATCGCCCAGACTATCTCTCTCGATCTTAGGCGGATTTAGAAGACGGATCTGGCGTTGGCGATCGCGGCTGCGGAACGTGAGGATTGGAAGGTAAATGTGCTAGCCAATGTAGCCAGACCCATTGGGCGGCTCGAAGGTGGAACGGCGTCGATCGGGAGAATCGCGACGGCGCAATTGGCCAGTTCAAAAGAAATAAGTTGAAAAAAAGAAACAAAAAAATAACACGGTTGTGAAGGATTCTTCTGGCTCTGCAGAATTGCAGACAGGATACCAGACAGCAAACACTAGCGCAAGAGAGTGCTTGTTCTAACAGCCAAAAAAGACAGAGGATATTAAAAGGGGGGAAAGGCCTCTTTTTTTTTTTGGATTTTTCTGTTGCACTATTTAACTACTGATGGAAGAGGAAAAGCGATGGCAGGGTTGTTGAGATGTTTTTAATCTTATGATTAATCAATCAATGTCCGTATCTAACAATAGCAATTAAAATAAATCCCTTCGCTAAACAGTGCAGGGGATCCTTATTTTTCCATTTTTCCAATTTTCCCCCGAATGGGGTTGGTTTCGAATATACGCTGCTGCGTATAAAAGAAAACTCCCCACTCGTTTCAGATTTGTTATTCCTTTATTTCCTCTTAAATGACGTTGTGCGTTTGATATCCTCTGGCTCGGAACGTGGCGATTTCATGTTTACTTAATTACTTAATATTTACAACTTGCTTTTTATCTATTTCTTCCACGTCAAACCAGATCGCCCAGAAAACAAGCTTGACAGCGGCAGAGCCCTACGTCCAACCCCAGTCATTAAACGGGCGAATTAAGCTGGGGAAATGCGACAAGGATAGCCTCCAGCAAGAGTAGCATTTTCTTGACTCCGGAAGCATGGGAGCTTATTCTCCTTTTTGCTAATTGTCCCAACCAATCAACATTCACAAAAACCTGTTCCTTGACGTCAGAATTGCGATGGAGACAGCCAACCTGCCCATTAGCAACCCGGAAGTTGGGTTAATGCATCATGCTTGCATCTCAGATCTTCTCGACAAGCGCAATATCTTGCTGAATGGGCGCAAAGTTGGCTAAACAGCCGAATAGACGGGATTGCCTAGTGTAGTTCTCATAACTATAGAACGAGCTATCTCGTTCTCGGTTTTGGTCAGATATCATGGCTATAACCCCTTTCTTGACAGCTGTTCACTTTGTTCGGTTTCTGCACCTTCGGAGTCATTATTAACATCCTTTTAAATATCTATCTAGCATATCCCGTCATACTTCCGTATATGCTGCACGTTTCCGATAATTCTCCTGTGCCAGCGTCAATCCCTGACATCTGCGACCTGCCTCCCTTCCACCGCGTCAGAAATGGGAATCAAGGGTGCAAGAACTGGCAGACCCCCTTCGTGCCATGACAGAATTCCTGAGATATCATTCTACCCTAATGTCCGAGGAATAATCCGATGAGCATGTTTTTATTCCAAGGTAGCTTTGCTACCTTGTCTTCTCCGGCATGTAGGAGGTTTGACAGGGCATCAATTTTACATGTGCGGCGCTGAACATCAATGTCATTTAGTAGTTAATATCTCTAACTACCGGTGTTGTAGCTAATCATTAATTTAGGAGCTAGATTCGTTGTTTTTCATGCTTTTGGATAACTCCTTGCAAATCTCCTGTCCCTGCCCCTTATTTCGTTAATATCTACTGGTCGTAAATAGCCAAAGCCAACCTGGAGCCTCAATTGATATTCCACTTACTTACCTTCTCTTAGTGCCGGAACGCACGAAGCTCCCTCCTCCTAAATCAGTAGGTCAGTAGTATACACACACACCCTGTCCGGCTTCACCATAAATGGGGGACAAATTTGCAACTCACCACCAGGCAATGAACGACTGCGTTTCAACCCCAATTCCAATCCTTTGCAGCTCCCTCGTCGACAAATGCGTATCATACGGCCTCTGCACCTCCCCCGGCTTCGGCCCCTCCTTCACCGGTATCATCCCAGGTAACGGCAAGCCCAATATCTCCGCCAGCTTCTGGCAAATTTCATACTTAGTCATCCGATCCTCTGACGAAAACTGCAGGATCCTAGGAAGCGCCTTGATGTCCTCCTCGTCACCAAGATACTTCACAGCGATATCATGGCATACCCTGCCTACATCTGCCGTATGCGTCGGGTATCTTATCGCCCAATCATCCATCTTAATCCCGGCATTCACATCCTGTGCCTTCCACACCGCATCGACAAGAACATTCACCGCGCTCTCGCTATTCTGCTTTGTTGGCCCATACAGCACGGGAACACGTAGGACCACGCCAAGCCCCGACTGTCTTGTCTCCTCTAACACTGCAATCTCGCCATCTCGCTTCGTCTCACCGTAGATGTTTGGTGGTTCGGTCTTCGCGGAGACTTCATATGGTGCTTCATCTGGTTTGCCGGGGAATACGTAGTCTGTCGAGATGTAGATAAGTAGGATGGATCGGGCAGAGGTTTCTCTAACGAGGGACTTGGTGGCGGCTACGTTTATTTTGCGGGCTGCGTCTTGGTCTAAGTCGCATTTATCTGGAAAGCGGTTGGCGGCGCCTGGAAGGTTGGGCATAAGATAAGAGGAATTAGATTTGCGTTCAGGTAAAAGCACATTGGGCGTAATTTTGAAAATAAGAATTTTCCAGAATTGGGCTTATATATGAGAAATAATCAAACTCACAATGCACGACAACCTGTGGCCTTCATTACCACGCACGTACGCATTCATCATCACCATCAGCATATCAAAACAGCCCGTCCCTTCTCTCCCCATTGCACTTCACATTGAAGATGAATATAGAAAATACTCACTTCGTCCGATCCAGTAATACTACAATCTCACTTTCATCTAACAAGTCTGCCTTGATAATCTCGGCATCTGTATCTGTAGCCGCGGTTCCAGGCCCCGCTCTTGAGAAACCTTGTCCGATGGTTTTCCAATTGAGGTTGTCTCGCTCAAAGGCGTTGAGGACCTGGCGCCCGAGAAGACCCGTGGCACCTGTAATAAGGACTGTTCGTGACATATTCTTTTCTTGGTTTGTTTGGGGTGTGTGTGAGGGTTAAGAGAATAACTTTGTGTCTGGTTGGTTGAGGGGTCGATTTGTGGGTGGTTGCAGGTTTTGGTGAACTTTAAACTCTTACTTGGTAAGGGCGTAAGTAACTACTGCTCAGGCAAATCTCAACGTTTTATTTTAATACATGAAACATGGGGGGTTACAGTTGATCATGGTTTTAAAAACTTTTTTGAATTGGTTTTGCAAATTGAGCCCACTCCTTTAGAGACATGGTTAACTTCATTTAAAGAAACACAGTCTAAATAATAGTTAACTAACTACTCTCCACATGGACCAACACATATTGCTAGTATGTATCTATTCAATCTCGCCGCCCTCAACTCCAGTGTTAGGAACTAAAATTAGGGTTAATTAAGGGTAAGGACCTGAGAAACATGATAAAATCACTGCCATCAAGGGCATATAGAGAGATGTAGTTTTAATGAGGTGCTGGAATCTTATTCAACTTTTAAAAACCACATTCCACTGCACACCCTGAAAGATATCATCATTGGAGGAGCCAACAGCTTCAGATTGGACCCAAAAAAAAGTCATTACCGAACACCATCTAACATCTTCCTGGTATCACTAGTTAAACCCAAATAGGAGAATAGCCCTGATAACAATGAGAGAGTTCTTTAATAACAACCAGCAGTGAGAGGGAACATCAACAGAACATCAAAACAGCCCGCGATATTAACTATTGAGCCATCTAAAAACCACCAAATTACCCTTAGCACAATCGGGAAGCGAGCGCATATCTCGTTGCTAGTTACAACTTGAATTCCTGCCCAACAAACGATTCCGTCAACTTCCACAGTTTCTCCGCCTTCTCTGGATCGGTAGCATACGCAGGCGCCGATGAAATTTGACAATCTATCAAATAAGCACCGGAATGATCTATAGCGCGTCTTATTACAAATCGTTCTTCTTCAAACTTCAAAGATAATAAGACAATGAGGCCATGAATATGAATACATACATCTAAGTGCAGGGTCAAACGCCGCAACTACCGACGTTGCAGCTCCCTGATCTCGAGTTTTCCAGCCTGGTATAGCACTGGCTATTTCTGCCAGTGTTGTTGGGGTCAGATGTCGCCCTAACTCTGTTTGGATGGCTGCATTGGTCGTTAGTATGGGAGGGGAAAGAAATACAAGATGAAAGTCTTTGGGATGCAGGGATTGGATCTGGTGTATACCTCCTGGATGAATCACGAAAGAAGAGATTCCATAGCCTGCAAGATGCTTCGCCAGATAAGTGATGAATAGCACATTCGCCGTCTTAGACTGTCCATAGGCAATCAATGACATATAATGATCCACCCGCTCCGTTGGAAGGCTATACGCCACGAGTGGCCCTGGAAGTCCCACTTCGTCCTCACCAACGGGATGGCCGTCGAAGTTATAGTCCTGGAAACGGAACGCGGAAAGGTCAAAACCAACTGACGATACATTGACGATACGGGTGACGCCTGGGCGTTTGATAGCAGCCAGGCGAATTTTATCCATGAGCAGGTTCGTGAGGAGGAAATGGCCGATATGGTTCGTTGCCAGATGCATCTCAAAGCCATCCTCGCTAATTTCGCGTTCGGGAATGGCCATAACGCCGGCATTATTAATGACAACGTCGATTGCTTCGACAGCTTTGCTGATCTCCGCCGCGGCTTCTCGGACTGAACGCTGTGAAGAAAGATCCACGATTGCGGGTACTATCTGCACTTCTGGAAAGCTGGTATTTAGATCTTTGACCATTGTGTCGAGCTTCTCTTGCGTTCTGCCCGATATTACTATACAGGCCGGGGCATGCTGTGCAATTGCCATGACTGTACTACCGCCAATACCGTTAGGATTGGCTCCCGTTATGAGGACTGTGAAGAGGAATGATTAGCATCTGAGAAACCATAGGGTACGTGGAAAATATGTATACCGGTCAATCCTTTAATCTGATCAGAAAATGCTTTAGTAACTTCGGTTGCCGTAGTTTCAGCTCCGAATTTTGAGTGCGACGTCATTTTTGATCCTGAATGTCGCGTTTCACACGGATGGGTAATAGAAGGATAAAGGTCACGACTTGATACTATCCAAAATCAAATTTGCCAGAGTAATTATAATAGAGATAGGATATGCCTGAGATTCCTAGCAAGGTTCGATTTTCTGTAATCTTCTTCTTCGTTTGCTTGATTGTTTCCATCTCTATGAATTGGTGGCCAACCGCTCCATTTATATAGACATATTAGGGTCTGCTTTATACGGCAATAATGGACTTTAGGATAACCACAGTAACGGAGATTAGATGTTAAGAATAACGAATTGTTAATCAACCTGCGTAACATAATGCCGTACTCAAAGGAAAGTTTCCATTGAATTACGAATAACTTCAAGTCCTCCGTGTCGGTGAAATTCTTCCCGATTCTAAATTTATACGGCCGTAGTGAGACCACAGCATCACAGCATTCAGGGCTACTTTGAGCTACTCTTCATATTCTTTATGGCTTCTTTCGCACTATGGAATGAAGGTGCCTAGATGGGGTCTGGACAAGTTATCCCCCGTAGTTAGTTACGGTCCGATATTTTCATTCCGTCCAATTGCGACTCGCGAAATGCTCAGGTTCCTTGCCTTTGACGTCACCTTCTCCGTGTTGTTCGGCGAACTTCGACCCAACTTCATCCCGACCTCAACCACGCGACGATTGGATACGAGCCGGCCGGTAACAAAGCTTTATGCACCGACTTACTTTTGTTTCCCTCGGCCGCTGTGTTGTAATCTACAGCAGTGCATGGCATCTTGTCACAGCATTATCTTCATTTCGAGTTTTCAAAACATCCTGGGTGTGTTCTCTACAGAAACACTACATACAAATCCATGGATTTCATCTGGGATGAACACTCACTACCTAGTCCTTACCGCCCCTTTGGCGAGATCCACTTCAAATTAAAAGGGTAGTTCGTTTCGCGGAGAAGCTCCTATAGGCTCTGTATCATGTTGGTCGTTGCACATTCATGAAGAAGAGTTGGACCCCGCATCAGTGGGCTGATCCCTACATGGGTGAACAAACGATGCCCCAAAACCCCCTCTCTCCTACTTATGACTGTATTGAAAGTCCTCTAAAGTCTAGATTCGAGGGGTTTTAAGACCTCTTGCAGGAGGTCACCAAACGGGGAGTTCTTGACTTTTTCATGGCTTTTGGGGTGATCTTCTGCTGGCCAGAAGAGGAAGATGAGGTTTCTAGAATTGGAGGAGGTTGAGCAAGTGCTGAGATGGTAGTAGAAATATTGCGATCACTGGGAAATGTTTTATCATTTGAAGAATAATAATTTACCAAAAAATGTGGATTTTATAGACATATCAATGTCGGTCCTTGCAAGATGTCCGGAATCTGCAGAAGGTATCAAAAGCACAAGGCACTAAGAAAGCCACATCATTAACCGCCACAGTTAACTAAATCTTAGGGCTTCAGACCACTATTTGAAGTTAATGCTGCCAGTTATGATTTAGGGCATTGTCGCTGAAATCTGCAGCATGCGCAGGGCCTGAGAGTCCCTAGACTCATCCACAGAGGTTGTGCCTCATTCTGGGCAGATAGTTTATATTATTTTAAGAGTGCTGATTGTGACATCTGCACGGAGTAAGTTGATTGACATAAATATACAAGGTTGAGGCCAACAGCCCTTATGATTGTCATTTAATTTATAACTCATTAATCGATTGAAAATCAAGTATAAAATTACCGCTGGACGAATTTGAGGTTAACTACGCTACGTCATACCATTGGCAGCCAACCATCGAACACCGTTTGCATGCAGCATGCCTGTCGATGTCATACCGGGAGCCAGAGTTGGATGGGCTAGGACGACGTTGCAATGCGCAGACATAATTAATAAAATTAACCATGAAAGTAGCAAATAATGGCAACAACGGTGTGTTCTCCTCTTCACCCGCGATCCGGCCTGATCCTCTGTTGTTGACTGATAGTATCCGTCCTAGTTTCCAACGAGAGGATCTTACCATGGTTGAATCGAGAATACTCTCCTCAAATCAAGCATCATCGCAAACAAGAGTTAGCTTGACAGCCTCTACTCAACGTCTCCGTCAGAGATCCCTTTCTCGTTCGGTGGTGACCACTTTCTCTGAGCCCTCGTCGAGTCCTCCTGGGCTAGGCAGGTTGCCGCGTAGCTCGACTTTCTCTGATACTGTTTCAGAAGCCCGCCAGTCCATCAAGTTTTCGACGGATGATCTGTTTTTCCCCCGTGTTGATTCAAGAACTACACCCCTGGCCCATGACAATGAGTCGCATTGGCAGTCTATTCCGCTGGCGCTGGCGCTGTTGCCAGCCGTCTGGGGTCTACTATTTAACAATGGAAGCGCAATAGCAACAGATATGACCTTGTTGGTGCTGGCGGCCATCTTTCTCAATTGGTCCATTCGATTGCCTTGGTGAGGGGAGCCTGCTCCAGAAGATATACTGTTCTATATACGTAATGTTCTTCGTCGACTAACAATATCACTCTCAGGGACTGGTACAGCTCAGCACAAGAGCTGAACCCAGGACTTCCACAAGAAGTGGCATCTGACATGGATTTAACTATTGAGGATCCCGAATCTGAACTCAATAACGACGAGGAAGAGAACAAGGAACACAAGCATTCATCTACAAGCTCTCCAACGACACAACCCCCACAATCCGAAGTTGCCAAAGCAGCAGCCAAAGAACTCCGCCGTCACGAACTAGCAGCTCTAGCATCCTGTTTCCTCTTCCCCACAATTGGCGCCTGGCTCCTTCACCAACTGAGGTTGCAACTCTCCCGCCCCTCCGAAGGCCTCGTGTCCAACTATAACCTAACCGTCTTCCTTCTCGCAGCCGAAATACGCCCATTCTCGCACCTCCTAAAGATGGTCCAGGCACGCACCCTCTACCTCCAACGCCTCGTCGCAACAAGCAACACCGAAAACCGCCACGAGAGAATCGACGCAAGCAAAATCCACGACTTCTCCACCCGCCTCGGGGAGTTGGAAGTCCATATCGCTAAATTCGCCGCCAGGAAACATCAACACCAACACCAGCATCATTATCACTTCAATCACCAGCGCCAATCCCAATCCCAGCCGCAACTTCAACCACAACAGTCCCCCGACAGCCCCATAAATGACCCCCAAGCCCCCATTACTAGCACACCAAACCCCCCCGACCAAATCCCCGCAGACCTCTCAGCCCTCACCCGCGCCATGCGCCGCTACGAAAAGCGCACAACCCAATACGCCCTTGCAACCGAAGCGCGCCTACAGTCTCTCGAGAAGCGGCTGAACGACGTCATCGCTCTAAACGCCTCGACGGCGCAGCAGCTCAAATCCACACCCATACCCACATCCGCAACGACGACGAAGAGGAAGACGACGACAGCAACAGTAACAGCGCTGGCAGCAGCGGCACCACACCGCCTTTCACTTTTGACGTTGTTGAATTGGTTGTACGGCATGGTCATGCTGCCGGCGCGGGCATTGTTGGGACTGATGTATTTGCCGTATCGGGTTGTGGGACAGGGGGTTGGCTGTGTCTATGCGCGATGGGCTGGGAGTAGTAGTGGAGTAATAGTCGTAGAAGAAGCGGAGGACAAGGGGAAGGGGAAGGGATTGGGGGGGGGAACCAATGCGGGGAAACTGGGGGGTGTAATTACTAGGCGGAAGGGTGGTAGTGGGGGTAGGAGTAGTTGTAGTGGAACTGTTATTATCACCGATGGAAGGGCTGGTTTGAGACGACCCTCTCTGTCAGCTTTGATTTCGGTTTTGAGTGGTTATGGAGCCTGCAACTCTGATTACTACTTCCACGGATGGTGTTGGTAAGTTGCAACAACGAGCGCTGGGGGATGGGAAGGATGACCATGTCGAGTTTACGGGAGGTATGATTTTCCCAACGCCATTTTCTTTTCTTAATTTATTTATTCGTATTTGGATTGCGATGTACTCTTGTTTATACCCGTGCATTTTTGCGTTTTTCGGGCACACTGGATATCTTCTTTCTCATTTCTTGAGTGGTTCATCGTTCCGGGATAGCTATTTGTGGGTTGAGATAATATCTTTATATATTTTTCGGGGCTTTGTAGGTGTAACTGCCTAGGTGTGTATGCCTATTCGGCTTGAGGAATGGAGCGTGATATCTAAGATGTCAAAATTACCCTTCTTTCTTGGCGGCCTGAGATATTGACTGGTTTCTATGTGGAATTGGCACATATTTCATCAATACTTACAAAAAGAAATTGGATGATTATATCCATAAAGTAAATGTGAGATGCACAAAAGGACCAAGGTAAATCGGGATCATGTCCACCGGGACAGTGGAAATGTGACGCCACACGAAAGATAGATGTGATAGATCCCTAATCCAGCCAAGGAAAGAGGACCTGCTCATGAATGCGCGTGGGCTGGGGGAGACATGTCTATGGATGAATCTAATTGACCAGTCCGTTGCTGGTGGTCAAAGGATGGGAGAATGGAATCTGTGGGGAGGGGATAACGGGGCAAAAGAGAAACATTCCCGCGACCCCCGCCATTAAACAGCGCTATCACTCCCATTCCCATTCCCATTCCCCGTCCCAACCTCAGCCCCAACCCTAGCGGAAATCTTCCTCTTCGCCGTCCCGACCCCACTAACACCTTTCTCCTGATTAACGCCCAACCAAGGCTTCTTCGCCTCGCCCAGATCCTGCATAGCCAAATAGTAAATCCCTTGCCCCAGCATAATACACACAAACGCAATCGGATACATCCAATGAACTGAAAACCCAAAAACCTTAATCCCAATAATAACACCCCAGAAATTCGCCGTGAGCAGACTGATATTGAAAAACGCCGCGGATGCCAGACGGAACAGCAGCGGCGCCAGTGTGTAGAAGATGAACAGACACAGCGTGTAGCCGGTGAAATATCCACCCACTTTGGCGTTCCAGGTGGCATTAGCGAAGGAGTCCCGGTCGAAAATGGCGGCTTGCACGCCGATGATGACCATGCCGTAGAATCCCAGTTGGCCGAGGACTTCGTACATGGGCCGCTTGCTGACGAGATATTCCTCCGCAACATTCGTGAGGCCGTAGAAGGTGGCGCCTAGCAGGGCGAAGAGGTCACCTTTTATCTGGCTGCTGGAAGACGGGCCGTTGCCGCCACCACCACCACCGCTGCCGCTGCCAGTGAGATGGTCTGAGCCGAAAAGCACGCCCATTCCCCCGATGGCGACGAGGATGCCGATGACTTGGGCCCACTGGTAGCGCACGCGGAGGAATATGAAGGAGATAGTGACGACGATAACGATGGCCCAGAAGTTGATGAGTTGGGCGCTGAGGAGGGTGGTGTATTTGTAGGCGAGGACGATGAAGTAGTTACCCTCGACGTCGCAGAAGGCGAGGACGATGTATTTCCAGCCGTCTGCTTTTATGGTGCGGAGCCAGCGGGGGAAGCCGTAGCGGTTGATTGTGTAGGTCGTGAAGACGAGGTTGAGCAGGATGTAGTTGAAGAGGGATTGGAGGGCGGGGATTGAGGTGCCTGTGTTGGAGAGGAGTTGGGAGAAGGTGTTTGTGGAGGTGATGCATAGGGCGAGGATTTGGCTGTGCGGAAGGACACGAGATTATTAGCAGCGCCTCTTTCTTTGTTCAAGGTGAGGAGGATAGGGATATATGAGCTGGGAACTAACCCGAGAACAAGCACGATATAGAACCCTCTGGTACGGAAGTATGCGAAATAACGCTTCTTGGTAGCCGATGCACGTGGATCCTCCTGGCCCTCGTCATTATTGCCACCCCTGATGGCACCTGAAGCATTGGGCGACCCGGGACTTCCATCGAAGGCGGCTGCTGCAGTCTGATTCATATCAGCAGTTTTGGTTTGGACATGGATTCTGTCTACTGCTTGGGTCATATTTACTTTGCGGTTCTTAGGGATCAGCGGGGCGTAACTGGAACGAGAAGATAACAACTATATACAAGAGAAGACGGAAAGATTCATTCACTAAACCGGGGTATAACTATATAGAATCAACAGGGCAAAAGAATAAATTGGAGCTTTATAGGGCCGAGCAAGCGCAAAACTCCAGAAGTCGCTTGCTGTGAGGAATTGGATGCCTGGGGAGAGGGGCGGGGGGGATTTGAAGTTGAAATAACTCGAGGAGGAGAGGAAAAAAGATAAGTCAGAAAATCTTGGAGGTGGTCCATGCGCCAATCAGATCCCATCTACACAAGAGACTAAAACTACCTACCTACCACTTCGAGAAATCTGTTCGCATATAACTAGAATTAGAACCATCTAAATAACTACATGACTAATAATAAGCACTATTAATGCGCCAGACACCAGGAATCCAGCCTGGTGACCACACATTGCATTTCCTTTCAGTGCATGCATCCATGCATACTCGATCACCCTACCGATATTTTCTCTACACACCCTAATCCTCTTCCATAGTAATCTCTCTATTTTCCCCTGGCATCCTCCGCACAGATAAACCAGGACCAAAAGACCAATCAATCAAAGTGAAAAGTAAAAAGAGAAAAGAGAAATCCCCGACTGCAATCAACCCTCCCGGCCCGATCCCTATCCCGTCATTCTGTTCCTTGGTTACACCCATCCCACGTAGAGTGTGCAGTTTTGTGTGAGTGTGAGTGACTATCTCGACCAACCCCACACTTGTTGCGAAACACAAACAGAAAAAAAGAAAGTTAAGCGAGAAACCGGAGATAAATTGGCCTTCCAAGGGAATCGCTTGTGACCCTTGTTTCAAAAAAAAAAAAAAAAAAAAAAGATTATTCGGGATTTTTACGCACTACGGTATATTTACATCAGTTTCTTCAATATTCCGCGGCCACATGACACGCGGATGACTTCACTGTTGGGATGGATGGTTAATCCTCTATTGGTGGGAGGAGGACAAGCTAGCCAACTAATATACGCCTATATCACGTGCGGCGGTGCGGCTGCCCGGGCAACCATGCCCAACTTTATTAATACTGCTGGTGCAATTTATATGTATATATATAACTAACCTGAATTCTTATACTCAGTCGCTGCGCAGGTAATATCCCATTCCAGGCTAATAAACATCGGCAAAAAAGAAACCAAAAAAAAAAAATTCAGGCATTTTATTACAGTCTTTAATTCTTCAAATAGCACGTCTATACTACTGTAGGCCTGGGGGTGTAATTATCAAGGTCAATTAACGGCCTCCACATCAAAAAAGCTTTTGTGGCGCAGTGATGAAATTGCAAGAAAGGTCAGAATCTCCAAAGACACAAATCGTATAATCCTAACTAGACAATAGTTACAAGAAAACCTCATGGTATCACCTCAGGCATTTCATACCCAGATTGTAACAACAATTGGCTGCTTCTGGCTCCCCACGTTTCCGCAGCCTTTCTCCCGGGGGGGGGGAGGGGGGGGTTGCCTTGAAGAGAAGGTTGCTGTAAGACTTCAGCATTCGCACGGGCCCTATGAACAGTATATACACAGGATATACGAAATGATAGGAATGATGGAAAGGAGGAGGAGAAAAGAGAGAGAAAGAGCATAATATTAAGAAGCATTTCTTATTCTGTCGTTTGACTGTAACCAAGCTTTCTCATGGAGCTAAGCCATCTCATTCATCTGAAGGTAGAAAGGTCGAAAGTGGCTGTCAGTAGCTCACTTCCCAGAAGACAATCTCTGCTGTCTCTTTGTTGATCGATATTTAGTGTACTTGAGTGGTCTCAAATCATGAAATTTTAGCAAATATAGCAAAGAGACAAGATCAGAACCCCATTTTAACATGAAGGTAGGAATCAATTATGATATCATAATTTAGCCTCTAGAAAATTGATCCCTGAACCTGATGAATGTGTAAAGTCACCGCACAGAGAGACAGAGAGAGAGGGTAGAGAGAAGGTGATGAGAAAATGTAGATTAGAGGCATCAAGAGGAATCATCTTATTCTTTGACTCTTAATGTAGAAGAATTTCCAACTAGAATCTCAAATTGCTTCGAGAAAGTAACTTTCTTTGCACTTCCAGAAGATATTTAAGTAAATGCTCAGATGCTGTTTAAAAGAATTATCTTCAGTGACGCCCTGAAAACAAATAACAAACACAGTTTGAGAGCCTCCGTGCTTTGCAGCCACTTCAATGGAAAGGAGTCTGGGGTGTAGCAGCTATATATAAAAAGAGAAGAAAACAGGTCCAGCAGGAGCCAGCATAAACTGCTCTTCAGCCAGCGAACAGATCCCTAATACTTGAGGTAACTCTCTCGCGCGCGATACACGTCATTCCTTTCAACGTTCTGCCCAAACCCACAGACCTGCAGACTAACCCGATGCGGCCAGCCTCCAGACCCAACTTCAACCCTCATCCGTCAAACCTTCAACCTCAACATCCACGTCCAACCTCTTCCACTGCCAACTATATCTGACTGACTAAACTTAATACCCACTTCCACTTCCACGGAGGCGATCTCTATTATCCACTTTCAACCGATGTCATTCTTTTACCGCCGTAGCCATCTCTGATCCATCTGATCCATCTCTCCCCCGCTGCTCTCCTTCCTACATCGTTCCGTCGCGACGATACTCGACTCCTGAGGCCACACGGAGACACACACTCTCTCTCACTCTGAATACTGCTGCCCCCGTTCACCCAGCCCCGAACCCGCCTGTCTGCCCACCTTATTCCTCTCCCAGGTCCCTATTTAATAGACAACCCCGATCCTTTCGGTATCCAGCATCCTCAGTTTTCAACATTCTTCCTCTCTCGCTCTTCCAGCCTCCCATCTCCCGTCGCCTCCCCCACACACCCGTCGCTCGCGTTGTTTGTCGCCTAAACATCTCTATTTCCCTGCGCCTGTTAAAGTACAGCGGTCTTGAGCTTCCTCTGCCAAACCCTACCCAGGCGCACTCCCTTGAAACCCCCGCCCCTAGGGTACACAAACGCTTCCGTCCACGTCTACGCCCGTAGATCGCACTTAAATATAAGTAACCACCGCAATTTCGCGACGACGCTATCTCGTCGCAAACACTAAGAAAAGGACAATCAAGAAGAGGAAAGAATAGAATAATAGAGGAAGACAAAAAAAAAAAAAAAAATTCCCCCATCCCACTCTTCCCGTCGGCGCATCTGCCGATCGCGACCTCTCTCTGTCTCCCCTGTCGTAAATCCTTATCTTCCTCTCATTCCTCTCTTCTCCTCCACCTTCAACTTTTACGAGATTGCGTGTACTGGCTGCGGCTCTCATCACCCCCCGGTACTCTCGACAAGAGTTGTCGCCGGAGTGACGAGACGCCTCTTTTATCACGGATGATGGCAGCGGTGGCGCCACCGCCAAACGATCGCAAGCGGGTCAAGGTCTATGAACTCAGAGATAATGACTGGTTTGATAGAGGGACCGGCTTGTGCTCTGCTCAAGTTATCGATGTATGTGCGCTTCTTTGTTTCTTTTTCTTATTTTCTTCCCCCCCCCTTTCTCACCCTCATCTCATCAATCCACACCTCTGCTCTCGTACATTAGTCCGATCGCATAACGTGCTGCCTTGCTCAGATATCTCGCGCCGACCGAAAGGATCGCTTTCGCTAATGCATGATTATTTTTCTTTGTTAGGATGAACCGCGAATCTACGTTGAGTCCGAGGAAGAACCTGAACGCATGTTACTGGAGACCAGGGTTTGTAGGGATGATGGATATCAGAAGCAACAAGGTCTGGCAAATGCAAATCTTCTTCTGCGTCTGGACCCTCTTCGGAACAGGCGGATAGGAACACGGGCTGATACTTGAAGGACAGAGACGTTGATCGTGTGGACCGAGGCAAGCGGCACAGATATGGCATTAAGTTTCCAGGAGGCAGAGGGTTGCGCTGTCATTTGGTTCGTACCCTTTTGGTTTCTTCCTGCTCTTCGTTTTTCTTTTTCGCGATTCAGCCACTCGGTTGACATGTTCCTAATGGGGTTTTTCGCGATCTAAAGGGAGTTCGTGAGCAATGTTCAGCGACAAATGATATCTTTCACGGGTCAAGGTTAGTTGATTAACATAACAAACCTGTTGCTTTGCGTCCTCATGACGATCGATATCCTCGATTCACTAATGCCTAGTTCTCAGATGACTCCCTTTCCGATGATGCCCTTGACACTAGCTTCGGAAATCCCGTCATACTCCCAGCCCCAGACCTAGGAAATCTTTCAGATGTTGAGCAAAAAATACGACAAGCCAGCATCGGTCCTACACGAGATTCACTCACCAAATTTATACTCCGCGATGAATACATCCTCAAGCTTGTTCCCCTGGTTTTCGATGCCGAAGACCTAGAAAGCCTCCCGGATCTGCACCGGCTATGTAATATTATGAAGTCCATTATACTGCTCAACGACAATACTCTCACCGAGCTGCTCGTGAACGATCACGTTATCAATGGTGTCGCTGGCGCTCTGGAATGTACGTCGCATTCAACTAACTATGCTTTCTAACTTTTCGTATTTGTCTGACTGACCTTCCACATACCCCCTCCAGACGATCCTGATTTCCCCACTCACAAGGCAAACCATCGTCAATACCTCAATGACCGCAGTCGCTTTAAACAAGTTGTTCCAATCAAGGACCCAGTAGTCCTGCGCAAAATCAGACACACTTGGCGCCTACAATATCTGAAAGACGTTGTACTGGCCCGAATTCTCGACGACCCCACCTTCTCCGTACTAAACTCCCTAATCTTCTTCAACCAAGTCGATATAGTCCAGCACCTCCAAAGTAACACCCATTTCCTCCACGAACTCTTCGCCGTCTTCAACCCGAAAAATGTAGACAACAAGCGGAAAGAAGAGGCAGTCCAATTCCTCCAACAATGCGCCGCCATCGCCAAAAACCTCCAAGCTCCCGCACGTGGCAGCCTCTTCACCAACTTCATCAGTCACGGCCTCTTCTCCGTCATCGCGTTTTCCGTGAAGCACCCCAACCCCGCCATAAGAACGACCGGCATCGACATCCTAGTTGCCCTGCTCGACCACGACCAGCTGATGATGCGCGGATATATGCTCAAGGTCATGAATGAGAATAAAGTGTCGCTGACAGATAGGCTTATAGAATTGTTTCATGCGGAGACAGATTTGGGTGTTAAGAACCAATTGGCGGATGCAATTAAGGCCACCCTAGACCCGCTGTTGCCGATCCAGGATCCGAAGAGTAGCACTGGAGCAGACTGTGCCTCGAAACTGCACCCGCAGAACCCGCCGCTACCGGGCGCTTTCGTGCAGAGCCATTTCGATGAATTGGCGAAAAAGTTGTTTGCACCGTTCAAACTACTGGACGCTAGGAAATCACGTAAGATTACTGAAAAGAAAAAGACCGAGCAGAAAGGCTTAGTATTGAATACTGACAAATATGTCGCTTTTAGTTAATGATCTTACGTTTCAAGAAGTCTCGCTTTATTCGCATCTTGTTGATATTCTCACTTTCTTTGTTAGGCAGCATTATTTACGATGTCGAGGGTTTATACATGGGGAGTCACTTACGCCTAAGGTGGCGCAAATGTTAACAGTGCCGCACAAACATTTGAAACTAAGTATGCAATATCTGTCTCTTTAGAAGGTTGGTCGTTAGGAGCTGGTTCCGCGTTAACCATGACCTTTTTTGCCAGCCGCTGTGAAATTCTTCCGTGCCTTGATAAGCCTCCAAGATACATTCTACGTAGCGCAGATGACCCACAACAACATTTTCGAACTAATCCTCAACATTGTCTACGAATCCATGCCGCGAGACAACCTGCTGAACTCCGCCTGTCTGGAACTCTTCGAATTCGTCAAACGCGAAAATATTAAGGCGATAATCATACACGTCGTCGGGAAGCACAGAGATGTTCTCAAGGACATCACCTACGTTGACACGTTCCAGAATCTGATATTGCGTTATGATCAGATGCAAGGATACGGCAATACTGCTGAAGGTGCAGATGCGACGCTATTTAACCAGGATGAGTCGGGTACAGCTGCTGTGCCGCGAATGCTCATCAACGGTGGGCAGCGATGGCATGGCATTCGGGAGATGGATGCGGCGGAGGAAGAGTACTTCGATAACTCGGATGACGAGGAAGATGAGGTAAGTTTCTTTCGTGATAGTGAAGAAAAGAAAAGCGTGCATGTCAAAGTTTTGCATGCGCGTCGTCTCGGTGAAGAGACAGCGGTGCTTACTGTCGACTATCAGCAGGAAAAGCAGCAACGAATGGATACGACTGTGACGGCGACCGCAACAACGATGACGACAGGGGTCGCTGTCAACGGATCTGCGTCGCCCGTCGTCAAACCTCTCGTCGATTACCCTGACGACGATGACGACGGCGACCCTATGGACGTTAATGTCCAGGAACAGCAGCCGGCAGATCTATTACCTTCCACCCTTGACCAAGCGCAGACACAGCCACAGCCACAAGCTCAACAACCACTCACTGAAACCACCTTCATCACCACCTCAGACTCCAGCACGCACCCTCAACAGCAACTCCAACCAAACCCCCGCCTCCCCCCGCACCGCTACACCGAAAAACGTCGCCGCGAAGAAGACGACGACGACGACGAGCTCATCAAGTTATCCTCGGGCACGAAGCGGCGCAGCTCAAGTCTTAGCAGCGTCGGCTCCTCCATGGGTAGCGGTGTTAGCGCTTTGAGGAAGAAGAAGAATTTTTCGGCTGGGGAGAGGCTTGGTGATGGCAGTAGTGGCGGTGATGTGGTATCGTCGAATACGAAGTTGAAGACGAAGGCCGGGACGGGAGGTGGCACTGCTGCTGGTGGCGGTGGCGGCGGGCCGAAAAAGATTTCCATTAACCTGACCATGTCGTCGTTGAAGGCAGGAGTTGCCGGGAAGAATGCTTCACCGGGAATGGGAGTCGCGGCAGAGGCGGTTGGGGACGTGGGGTCCGGGCCAGGGACGAAAGCGAATAGTGCGGCCATCGGCACTGCCACTCCCATTGCTGAAGGACGGCATGCAAATATCCCCCGAGAAGAATGATGGTGGCGCTATCCTTGCTGGGCCCATGTTGGCGATCGCAGTGGAGGAGGTGAAGACAATACTCGCTCTACATAAAAACCGCGTTTTTCATTATTCCCCCCTCTTCTCTCTTGTCTCACGTGCGCCGTCAGGTTGGTTGTGTTTTGTGCAGTGGATTTTGTTTGGTATGGTGTTTTGCTTTTGTGGGTGTTTTGGGAACGTATGGGCCTTTTCCATTTCTTCTCCTTCTTCTGTCTCGGTCATTCTATTTTTGCGGAGTGCGCCTATCCTATCCTATCCTATTCTCTTGTGCATCTGTGTGCTGGCTATTTATTTATTTAGTTAGTTCAGCTATTATGCCGCTTCTTCCAACGTCTCACGTGTGTTTCCCTTAACGCGTCTCCATGCGCCATATCTATGAATTCGCCTTGGATCCTTTTTCTAGTGTTTATTATTAAGAATGAGATTGAGGGAAGAAAGGCACACATATATATCAATGGGATAATTGATCCTTTTTCCGCTGCTTTTTCTTTTTTCCGAATCAAGTGATTAGGAACAAACACGCAGAACATGGTACCTTGCATGATGTTTAGCCCGAATACTGATCCATGGTGTCCACAGGTTGTCATTAACTTCCCAAATTAAGTTGCCCTTCCCCGGATTGTAAGCCCCAGGCGCCAAGATCGGGGCATGGTTTGAGGCTGAAATAAATAATTTGAAGTGACGACAGGAAACCGACAACAGCTCCCTAGAACAAATGTTGCAGAAAGATTTATAAGGAGAATCTCCTGCACCTTCAGCATTGAAATTGCAAGATATATATATATTTATATTTATTTACTTTAATAGCAATGGTGTCTAGTTAAGAACAGACTTTCAGACTGGGTACCTGGTCTGTAAGAACATTGGCATTCAATACATCTTTCACCCTTGTAGGGGATATTTTAGGCCCCACGTACCAGTGCCAGCTACAGCATATAGTTCATACAGGAATGGATGAATACTCACTGAACTTTGCACTGAGCTTAATAAGTTTATTCTGTCATGCACGCACAGGGACTGAGCTATCATTCATACTATCAGGTTGTGCAATGATCTATGATATTAACTATTAGTTACCCCTCACCACCTGAAAAGCGCTCAGCGCAGTGTGAAATCCCACAACTCGCAAGATTTTCCATTTAATGAGGTGATTACCACGATCTCTCTGCCTTCGCTGATGCTTCCCTCATTGTCGTCTGTACCATGGAAATCTTCGCCCATGCTGATGATTCCACCAAAGTGTTGAACAAACCCAGTGCACTTTGTAACTACAGCATGAGGCGGACTGGATAAGAAATTTAGAACTTCAAGAAGCTCTTCTCACACTGCCAGAACAGGTTGAACAAGGCACATTGAGGGACGCTAGAACAAGTTGGATCTCGAAATATAGATGTTGAAGACCTCTCAGATAATGTTCACCCCTTCTGGAGATATCTGGGATAGGTAGAGTACATTCAATATCCTATCCTGCGGCCACTCAATCTGCACCACCGCTTTACAAATGTTTTGTCCGCTCTTGATAAATAACACTAAGAGAATGGACGCATATCTGTACAAGCTATCAAACTAGAATGTGGAATATTCTGGTGCTATCTATACTGAATTATCCTCACCTGTGATCATATGATTCCGAAGATCATATATGATTTCTTCTTGGACCAGTTTATTCGTGTACATTTTAAATATGTTTATTTTGTTTCCTAATGGCCCTTCTGGGCTATGATATCTTCCATGATATTCCTCTTGTATAGTCATTGCTTAAGCAATCCCGGTTACAGGCAAAATCTCTCACTACACCTAGTTTTAGAACGAAGAGTTGGACTCAGGGGCCAGAAATAGATGGATATGACTTGTCGGCTTTAGTTCAGTTAGAATTGGGATGAAAGACTTATGGCCAATACCATCTACAGATATTCCTTTAATGCCTTTCTTTTACAGAATATATAAAGGAATAGTAGGAAAATCTAAGCATTACATAAATGATTGGCAGCGTATAAAATTTTCATGTGCAAATAACGGCACAATATTAAGTAACTTCAACGGAAAATTCTCAACATCGAAAAAAGTTTCTCCGTTTCAAAAGAGAAGCTTCAACTTTGACATCTCCCCAGAGCACTCTACGCGCATAAGAACACCACATAACTGCTCTTCATCAATTCATATGCATAATATACTCCTCAAATCAGAGCGAAAATGCCCCTTTTAACAAATCCCCACATCACAGCAAACAGCTTCTTAACGATCACAAACTCTTCAGCAGATGAGGCGGAACCCATATTGCTATTCTTCATCCCGGGAAATCCAGGTCTGATATCCTATTACAATACATATCTGTCCTTGCTGAGTTCCAATCTTTCATCAATTGCTTGTGCTAGTGATACCAATAGCAATAAGGGCTGTATACCCCAATGCATCATCCACGGGAAAAGCATGGGCGGATTTGAGATTCTTGAAGATGACATGAGCCGAAGTAGTGGTCTCAGTTCCACCAGCAGCATGTCTCAAAATAGAACAGGAGAAGAGAAATCACAATCACAACCTCACTCCACAGACCCAAAGCTCTACAGTCTCTTTGAGCAGATCGAGTTTGTGTACGGGAATCTAAAAGATTTCGTGGCCGCCTGGCATGAGAATCTACAGCTGCGATTGCACAAGAAGAAAAATAAGAGCGATGATGATCAAGGCGGGGAGAAGAGAGGGGAGGGAGGGAGGGCCGTTAAAGTGATATTAATTGGGCATTCCGTTGGGGCATATATCTCCATGGAGATTCTGAGACGGCATACGGAGACCAAGAAAACGACACCCATTGGAAATGACGGTGCGATGGACATCATAGGCGTAATTCTATTATTTCCGACTATTGTTGATATTGCAAAGAGTTCGGCTGGAAGGAAGTTGACTGTCCGTATTCTTTTTAAATCTATTTACTCATTATCGCATTTTCTCTCTCAGACACGATCTGATTAATCCGTATTCTCGGAATCTTACTGCTTTTCATTTTCGCCTTCGGCTCTCTACACCCCTTTTGCCCTATCCCTGCTTACGCTGGGCCCCGTTTTATTTCTAACTGATATCCAATGCACAGAAACTCCTCTACATGCCATACCTAGCGCTTCTTGCGAGCCTACTTGTCAAACTCCTGGTATACATATTGCCAGAATCAGTGCTACGCAGCATAGTGGCGGTGGTAATGGTTTCACCGCCAGAAGACGCAATTGATATAACAATAGCATTCTTGAAGAGTAGACAGGGTGTTGAGCAAGCAATGTAAGATCTGGATGTTTGTTTACATGTGTTATTTTGACTTATTCCCTCCTCAATTTTCTCAACTACTTCTCTTCCCTTCCCCGTCCCCTGGATCGTTCCCCTTTGAATAGCTATCTACATAACATTACCGTTTTTCAAGGCCATCTACAAGTGTAAATGTGCTCAAGTGTAAATACAAACACAAACTTGCTGTTAGGCAGGGGGGAAATACGTTTAATAAAAATAAGAGACGAACTCCTGCTGACATATCATTCCAACAGACACATGTCCGCTGATGAAATGCGTGATATAACATCCGATAAGTGGAGCGATGAAATATGGGGAATAGCCTCATCCCCCACTAAAAGTTCAACTTCCACCTCCACTCCAACAAATCATTCCCCAGATCTAGTGCTGTATTTTGCCCAAAGTGATCATTGGGTAGCTGATCAGACGCGAGAGGATATCATTCGAGCAAGAGGCAGTATGGGCAACGGCACTAGTAATGCCCCGAGAATGCAAGTGTGTGAGGACGGAGTGGTGCATGGCTTTTGTATCCGTAAGTGTTTATGTCTGCTTTTGTCGTATCCCTAGCTTTTTCGTTCTCATCCCTTGTTTTGGGGTTTGAGGCCATTCGATATACTAGACAAGGGCCTGTGTATGCGAAGCTCTAGTCTTGCTGACTCCTCCCCACTCTTCCGCATATACAGGGCATAGCGATATCATGGCAGAGAAGACGGCAGGGTTCTTAAGGGATATTATTCGAAAAAGATATAGAATTGCCAGAGCGTCCCATTAGACTTAGACAGAAGGACAAGAAATAGGCCTTGTAGACTGCTGTATATCTCATTGCGTCATCTGACCGAGAGCAAGAGCCCTATTTAAGATGATGGAGAAAGATAACAAATGAGTATCATACTAGTCGTAGAGCATTCCGACCATTGTCCCCACCAATGCCATTTGGCAGCGGCAGCGGTAAACATCCAAGATAAAAAATACATCAAGACGAGCACCACACTGCCCAAATCACTTAGTAGGGCCCTGATACGCTTTCCGGAAAAGAGCGCCAAGGACATCATTTCTGGCTCCATTTGTCGGCGGCGCAGCAGGGGGTACTGGCCAGTTCCCATTCTCTTGTTGCTGAAAATATCCCGATTGCAGATTTTGCTGGGCCAACTGCGTTTCCAAATCAACATTTCGCAACGAGGGGCTATGGACCTTGACACTCCACTCGTCATCCTGCTGCCTCTGCTGACCGAACAGTTCCTTCAGGGAAATCTGCCGGCCCATGGGAACACCACCCTGTTGCACTCCCTCATCGCCATGCTGATCAACATGAGCCGCACCAACAAGGACGTTATTTCTCCGCTCTACCACAGCCCTCTCCAGCGCAAACTTCCTACTCTCCCCACCATGCACAGCATACTCCTTGATAATCCGGGCATTCAACGTCCTAGCCTCAGCCGTAGAGCTAGGCGCAGGTTCGGAAAAGATCCATAATCCGTAAATTACCGACTCACGACCACCCGCTGATTTGATCGTGCTCGCGCCCGGTTCCGCGCCCGTCGATTCAACTTTCAAAATAACATATTCCTCCGTAACTTCCACGTCGTCGCCGTCGGTCAGCCGGGCTTCAAAATTGTCCATACCGCGTCGATTCAGAACAAGCACGCTATAGCGCTCCTCGCCAAGCTCACCCTGGGTCAACTGGCAGACAAACAAGGTGCCCTCTATTCCGCTCTTCTCCCATAGCTGCTTGGTGGCGCTGAAGATGTAGACGACGGCGTATGGGGCCAGGGAGAGAATGGAGTGGATTGCCGGATTGTGGCGCTGGAGAACAGATAAGTTCAGCTCTTCGTTTGTGCGTGAGGGGGTTTTTAGCTGGGAGGGATCGGTGGCCATGGAGGAGCCGTTGGGGGCTTGGGAGTCCGAGATGTAGTTGTTTGGGATGTCAGATTCGTAGTCGGAAGGCTGCGCAAGGTTTGAGAGATTCCGGTTGTGTAGGGATCGGTAGTTCAGTTGCTGATTACTACTGCTATTATTATTATTATTATTATTGTTGTTGTTGTTGAGATTGTTGATGTTGCTGTGCATGTTGCTGCGGCGATCTTTACCCCGTCGGAATGTCATAGCTGTGAATGGGAAGGCGGTTGGTTGGTGGGGGAGGATGGAGGAAGCTGAATATTACTTGAGTGAATATATCAAGTATGTTTTATAGTCAGTGAATGTTGAGAGATGAGATATATAAACATCCAGGACGTTTGTCGATAGAGATTTGATAATAAATATGAGAGATATGAGCGTTGACTGTTCTTCTATGTTCATTGAATAAATTGATTAATAGTTAACTAGTTAGTTAACCCACTTGATACTGTGCTGACTAACTAAACAGCTATCAACAGATCTACACTGCTATGACATAGTCTCAACCACCAACACCAGAACAATGATATATCCAGCAAATATACTCTTCTTTTCTTTCTTTCATCCATGGCCTATTTTCACCTCCACTGAATGCGACTGATTAATCTTCTTCCCCTTAAACTGCCCCATTCTGTTTCGCCCGGATCTACGATCGACGGTCGACCGGAGCACGTATATTAGTTTTCGGGTCTCTTTGACCACCTTGGAAATCCAGCCTGCCCAGCTGACCCTAAGGCTTGGATTAGTACCTCTCGCTCGGGTCTGGCACGTACGCTACCATCATATTCAACCATTCTCCAAGGAAGTGCTCAATGTGCTTCCGAACCACCATGAGGAGAAGTTAAACCTCCACGACCCTGCCCACATAATACTCACCATTGGCCACATTTATGCCGCAAACTATGTCCCTCCGCGAGGCCGAGTCCAACCCCACAGATGTGTCAGGTACTTTCCTCGATTCCCTCGACAGCAACGGTGATGATATCCCGCCATCCTCTGATTTTCAATCTCTTTCGCGGGCCGTCAAAGCCAGGAAGGCTGAGTTTACCCGCCAGCGTCAAATTCGCGTGAAGATCGGCACATGGAATGTTGCCGCTCTGCCTGGAACAGAAGCCGATATCGGCTGCTGGTTCGTTAAACCTTCTGGGCTGAACAGGGAAAACGAGATATATGCGAGATCAGGAAATGCAAAGAAGGCTCATAGGAGGAACGGCGAGGCGGATTCCTGGGTCGATCAGGAACTGGTTGGGCAGGGTTCTGCACAGTGGAATACTGCCAGTCTAGAGCTACCAGCGCCCGGAGCTCCTGGTGATGACGTCGATATATATGTGCTGGGTTTACAAGAAATTGTCGACGTTTCGTCTCCCTCGGAATCCTTGAAACCATATGTTGACCCGGCCCCGTCCAATCGGTGGAAAGAGGCCGTCCAGAATGCGCTGCCTCTTGGATATAAGTTGATTTCTTCCCAGCAGCTTGTAGGCTTGCTTTTACTAGTATACGCATCTCCGTCAGTGGCCCCTATGATATCCTCCGTTAGCTCCGTGGGTGTGGGTACTGGAGTGATGGGATACATGGGGAACAAGGGCGGGGTTGCGACGCGGATAGTTGTTGGCGGAACGACTCGACTAGTCTTTGTCAACTGTCACCTTGCGGCCGGCGCGGATAAAGGTAGTTTAGACAGGAGGAACTGGGATGCTTCACAGATCATAAGCCGTGCTAAATTCAACCCTCTCGAAGAGGGCGATGATATCTTAGAAGACGACGGTAACATGATAGGATATGAGGACTTTGGATTTTGGTTTGGAGATCTCAATTATCGTCTGGAAGATATACCCGGCGACGACGTGCGACGGCTACTGCATTTGCATACTGAAAATAAATTCCATGCTATGAAGTCCCCCTCGATTCATGATGAGAAAGCGAGCCTTTCGTCTCCGACACAGAATAGCAATGGAAACAGTATAGGCTCTGGCCGGTCTTCAATAGATACAGGGTCAAACAATTTATCTCCCGAGCCACATATATCCTTGGAAGATAATTCTATTTTTGATCCGCATCTTGATCCAGCATCTCTAGTGACTACTCTTGCTTCATTACTCCCTCATGACCAGCTCCATCGGCAGCAAAGGAGTGGGAAAGCACTTTACGATGGCTGGAGGGAAGGGCATATTTCGTTTTTGCCAACATATAAATACGATATCGGGACCACTGGGACCTTCGACTCGAGTGAAAAACGACGCGGGCCGAGTTGGTGCGATCGAATACTTTTCCGCACTCGACACGATTATTTAGAGTATAAACGGAAGCTCAAGGAAGCCGAAGAAGCAAAGAAAAGGGACGAGGAAATGAAATCTCTTGGACTGGAGCAGGAAGCTGAAAACGATAGTGTTCTTTTCTATTACGATCCGGAGGTAGATGGCGCCAATGACTATGATGAAAATGTAGATACAACCGGGGCTACAACTGCTTCTGGTAATGATCAAACGGAGTCCAAAGATATAATCAGGTTAAATTTTTATACTTCACATCAAGATATCGTGTCGTCAGATCATAAACCATTGGCTGCGGAATTTACCCTAACTTTTGATGCCGTTGTCCCCGAATTGAAAGCCAAAGTTCACCAGGAAGTTGTTCGAGAACTGGATAAAGCTGAGAACGAGGCGAGACCTGGGGTAACGGTTGTAGTAGAGAATCACCCGGACGACTCAGACGACAACCAAGCATCACATATTGCGAATGATCCCAATGTGGTCAACTTTGGCCAAGTACGATACGATGTTCCAGTGTCACGGAGCCTGACTGTGGCCAATACCAGCGGAGTCCCGGCGACATTCAGCTTCCATCATCGACCTCCAGACAAAGACGAGGAAAATGGTTTGACTTCACCTTCCTGGCTTCGTCTCCAGGTAGATGGTTCGCCAGATGGCGATGCTCAAAACCCCAAAACTCGCCCGAAATATACACTTCAACCTGGCGAAACAACAAATGTACAACTCGTCCTTTGCATATACGACATTGCTTTTGTTCGAGAACTGAATAACGGTGAGGCAAAAATTGAGGATATAATAGTTTTACGAGTCACCAATGGGAGGGACTACTTCATTCCGGTGCATGGCTCGTGGCTTACGTCATGCTTTGGATTTTCGTTAGAAGATCTTACGCGGATGCCTGAGGATGGGGCACGACACCTTAATCCCGGCGTTCAATCGTTGCGCTCCACCGAAACTCATACGAAGCAAGATACCCGTCTGTCAGCTCCCCGTGAACTGTTCAGGTTGACGGAGACGATAGCTGAACTTACGGAACGGGCTGTCGCCGAATGGGACATGGTCGATGACAATTCCCAAAGTGATCTGCCACCGTGGAGCGCTGAGAAGTTAGGTTGGCCATTCGAGGCGGAAACATGGACTTTGGCAGATAGCCGCGAGCGCTATCACCTACTCTCCCGCGTCCGAGATGCACTAGACACCAACACGCCCTTTTCGTCTGTATTTCCGCCCGAGCTCCCGTCCCGTCATAGAGTCGAACTTCTCTCCGAAACCCTCCTCTCCTTCCTCAAATCTATACGTGGTGGCATAATAACCGCCCCGCTCTGGCACGAGCTAGAGCGCCATGTTATAAACCTCGAAAAATCCAAATCTTCACCCTTAACCACGGAACAGTTACAAACCCAAATCCTTGAAGTTATCTCCTCTTCCCCCGCCCACAGCGTTTCCTTTACCTTCGTCACATTCATGCTAAACCGCGTCGTGAACGAAATCGCCCCCCTATCACCTACCAACTCTCTATCAACCCCTCTCTCCCCAACGACATCAAAACCATTCTTTTCCCGGAGAACCCATTCGATATCGGAAACCTCGCTTTCCGACCCCCTACAATCAATCCCAACCTCCCCTTCAACCATCACAAATTCTGCCCCCGCATCCTCGATGGTCAACGCTATGTCTAGAACATTCAGCATCCGCTTAGGAAAGCCCGGCAACCAATCGACCAGTGGATCATATCCAGATGTTCCTACTGCTATTGCTGCAAAGGCAACCGCCGCCTCAGCAAGACGGCAGGCAGTTAGTAAGATATTTGCTAGGATATTTGCGCAAACGATTTTCTCGAACGATATTGAACGACCTGAGAAGGAGAGGGAGAGAAGGGTGTGGGAAGATAGGCGGAAGGCCATCTTGGAGCCGTTCTTGGTGTGATCACCCTTTTAGACTTTTTGGAAGCGGTCTTTGGTTTTCTTTCTTTTTCCCTCTTTTGGAGCTCTTGGATTAATTATAAATTCTCATGTGGTAGCAGGAAGTTGGTTTGTATTATCTGGTTTCTCTGGACTTTTTTCTTTCTCTTATTGCTTCTGTTCCCTGGTCACACGAACCGAGTTAGATAATTATATAAGTCGCAAGACGTTCCGTTCGAAAGGTAATGTATAAGAATCCGTTTTGTATTCATTTTTACCTTGCAGTACGGAGTACTCTCTATATATTATTCCCGTTTGAAACGAAATATCCAGCGCCATGTTCTGCAGTACAACATGCTTGTATCTACCGAGGTTGACTTTAGAATAATCCGCCGTTCACACTAAACTTTGTGGGCTAAGCTAAAAGAAGACTAGTCCACAAGCGGGAGCTTAAGGAGAGCCGCCCACCTTTCTCATCCAAGTCTAGCGCATCCATAGTTCGTGGGAAGGATATCAGTGGGGTCACTCAGTAAACATTGACTCTCACTATCCTCCCTGACAGTTCAAACCCCCCCCATCATCTTCTATGAATGGTTAAGAGGAGACATGGCTCCTTGGATAGTGGACAGGTAAAAGTCAAAATATCCCTAATATTTTGTCGCCCAAATTTTTATCAATTTTCATTACAACATCGACAAGGTTTGCAAGAACAACCTCAAAGATAAAATATCACATATATTTTCTCGCCGGTTAAATGCCCTTAAGCATAATTTGATATCTCGTTGACGTATCTGTCAGACCTCCATTTGACACTCATACGTACAAGACTCCAAAAGAATCTGTATTCTCCTACCTTTCATTCCAAATTTACACAACCACATTTTCATGAGAAAACTCTCAACACATTCAACAATCAAGGAAAGTCATGGCTCACGAAGAATTTCCCTCAGAGCCCCCTGTCACCCCTGGTCCGTGCAACTGGCGCCAGGAATGTAGAACTGGTCAGGTACGTAAAATTATCAACTGTAGCTTCACCCCCACCACCACGAGGTTTGTCATTATTGGTATTGAATTGACATTTGCAACAATTGAGCAGGCTTTGCTGAAACTGCGCAGGGAAGTAGGCACAATACAGGATTGGCATGTGAACTTCGTTGAATGCCTGAACGAAATTGATAGGAAGGTGTTGGAGTTGCAGTCTCTCTTGAAGTGGTCATTGTCATCATTTTCACTGGTGATTTTGACAACTCATTTTGCTACTTCAGTCAGGCGTATTAGTGCAGGGGGTATAATTGTTTTGCCATCGGCTTATTATCCTCATAGCCATAGCTGCGGGAATACTGATGTGCAGGGGAATAGAAACGGAACAACAAGGGATAGAGATTATGAATTTGTGCATAGTGGGGATGAGAGTGAGGGGCATGATAGCTCCTCAGTGGACGATGAGGATAGTTTTACTTCTGCTGTTCTCTCAAAAATTGGGACTCTATTGTTTTCCAAGAAGGTATCGTATTGTGATTCGAGGCATGGATAATCGTGGTAAGTGCTTACATGAATGTAATAGTAACTATGTTTGGTCATCAAGGACGCAGTAACGGCGCGTGGTGATCTAGATGATCTGTTTTCGTCCTCTTTTTCTTCAGCCGCCTCATTTTATTTTTTAATCCACCTGAGGCTGTGTGTATTTAATAATTAATAAAGGTTTGTTTGACTACAATTTGAATTGTAAACAAGAGTGCTTTTGGCATCAAAGCTGCTCTCTTCTCCTAGATGTTTATTCAGTCGCTCCAGGTCGCATAAAACTAAGATTAACATGTTCAATAACCCCCCAATCAAGGACCTCTTAGCGCATACAAGGAGAACAGAGCATATGCCAATTAATCTATTTCAATCATACTCAGACGTCCATCGTTGATAGGCAATTCTAGAATCATACTCAATCCATTTCCGTCCCACACCATCCCGATCAAATTCTAACATTGAATTTTCAACGAAACCAACCTGTCCATCCTGGCCTCAAACGAAAATACAAAAGGCAAATGAGAGGGCAAACACAGTGCAATGTAGATCCTCTAGAAGATATTGTAATGAAGCCCGAACACGTACAGAGACGGACAACACTACATTGGGCAGAACCGAAAAACTATAGAAGAGTTTAAGAGAAAAGGTTGGGTGATGCAAGCAACCCCCTGACAGTGAATCCAGAACAATCAATACTACCTATTTAGAGGAGAGAAGTCATGAGAAAAATCTGTCATCAGAAATTCTACGTAGGAAAATGCTAAACCATTTCTTCTGCCCTTCACTAACTCAATCCTAATAGCCAATTTCAATCACATCACAGTCACATTACACACCACATAAATCTGAAAACGCAACACAAAATGCCAGCCATATCATACCAATGCCCAAGCCCTGCCTTTTTGCAATCACCGTACCGTCCACTGATAAAATCCAACCTTTTGAGTTCCGCAGTTAACCGCCGAACCTAAACTCAAATCATTCAAGCAAGATGGGAAAAAAAATTCCAAGGAAAGGGTGCGGGGTAAACAGAAAACAAAGGGGAAAAAAGCTTAATTCAGATCAAGATTGGAGATGGTGCTTTTTGTGTCCTTGGGCTGAAAAGAAAGGAGAAACAAAGTAGTAGCAAGCAGCAGCAACCACAAGTCAACAAGGGGGTTATAAGAGGAGGGAGTTGCAAGGAATACAATCAAGGAACTCCAAAACGGGGGATAAAAGGATATTAAAAGTAGAAAATCCTCACACATATCACTACTCACAATCCAACTAAACCAAAAAATCAACCTATCCCTCGATGGAAAGATCTCCAGCAGCCTTTGAATAACACGCCTCAGTCCTATAAGGGCAATACTTAAAAAGAAAAGAACGATAAAAAAAAACAAAAAACAAGTAGAATGATAGTAATGATATCAAAACCAAGACCAAAGCCCTCCAGGACCAAAACCAAAACCAAAAACCAGAACCAATCCAAGATCCAAAAGCCAAAAGCCATACCACACATAGCAAAGGACAAGCAAAGTTAAATAAAATTGAAAGAATAACCAAATCCAAAACTCAACATACGAGACAAAATCAAAACAATCTGAATATAGCTGGGGAATACAGAACACAACAAACACACAAGACCGATGCTCCGGCCCTCCAACCCCTCAAAATCAGTCAAAACCAAAACCAAATCAATCACGACACTACCCATAAACAATCCAACCTCCTCTCACCTCCCCTTCCAGTTGTGATGAGAAACGAAATCCATAAATCCCATGCCAGATCAAACCCCGAAGGAAATAACTACGTAGCCACTCGACCACGTGCACATTAAAAGAGCAGGAAGGTAAAATAAAAATAAAAAATTGAAATCCGAAAAACAAGCAAAAACCATTCCCGTCATCCATGTTTTTGCCCCGTTCATTTTTACCCTGTCACCGTTGAACAAAACAGAAAAGAAAGGGAAAACAAAGATTCCTTTCTCCGATGCAATTTCTTATACAAAAGAATGAAATTAAAAGGGGAGACCATTATTGGGGATCCAAGTCTCTCCGCTACCCTTACCTCCGACGCCATCCCAAAAGAAGAAAAAAAAGAAAAAAAAAGAAAAAAAAGAGAAACAAAAAAGAAGGGGGAAAAAGGGGGGGGGATGGGAAAGAAAAAGCACACCATCCATCTCAAGACAAGTAGAGAATTTAGTCGAAACGCGTCGCCTGGAGAAACGCAAGGCAACGACTCTGTTACGTCGTGTTCTTCCCCTGCCCCAGTCCCTTCTGTGGAAAACCTTGCTTCCTCTAGCCCCAGACAGATGCTTGGACGCCCAACGAGTTCTTAGATCTCCATACGCCACTTCCATTGCCCCAGCCCAGCCCAACGTGACTGGAGGACTCATTCGTTCCTGAGCCAGAGGCTGATGCGGTAGCCGGGTTGGGAGGGTTGGAAGCGGCCGAGGTAGAAAGTTCGTTCCCATTGCCGCCCGCGCTAGCGTTCTCATTTGACGCAAAGCTGTAGCTTAATGGAGAGTGGAGTGGGGTCGTCGAGCGTTTATTGAGAGCCGGGTTAACTGCCTGGCTAGCGTTGGATGGCTGGGCGGGGCGGGATCCGATCGGGCCAACAGCGGTAACGTTTTGTTTCGAACCCAGTTGACGGGATGATGCGGACTCCGAGTTACCGCCGCCAAGCGGCGAGGTGGAGGCATGTGACTTCTGCTGGCTGGCATTGGCGCTGTCAAATATACCGTAAGAGGTGGGGCCAGTGCTGGGGGAGGAGATGCTGTTGGAACGGGATCGAGACTGGGGAACGACAGGGGAGGGTCTGGTGGTGGCACCCGATGAGGACTGGGTTACGCCTTCAGAGTTACCCTGTTGTCCCTGAGTTTGGCCAAGGCCAAAAGGGTCTACACCTCTAGGTGAAGGACCGCGCACCCCGGGTGCATTGGTTGTTGGGGTAGCAGAGGACTGGTTCTCCTCGCCAAGCCCACCATTGGGGTAGAAATCGGCGTTACCATTGCCATACAAAGCACGACGCTGGCGTGCAATCCATTCGCGCCGACTTTCTTCGCTCATCGCAGCGGGACTCATGGAACGATCGGATTTGTTTCCAGACATTTCGGAGGAAAGGCCTTTTTCCAATGCAACCCACGTTAAGATGCAAGTACAAAACACATGAGCATATATAAATTTTCGCAAGAATAAGAATAAGACGGGAAAATATGACATGGAGTTGTATAAATGCAAAAGTAATAATGATAAAACACATATTGATCTGAAGGGAAAAAAAACACTCAAGGGAACGAAAGAGCCAAGAAGCAAAAAAAATATCAGTATCAAGGAATAGGAAACGAATAGCAACACTCGTCACGTACGATGGATCTGCTGTTGATGATGGTATTTGCGGAGCTCTCCCTCACGCTGTGCTGCCATCCGTCGTTTTGCCTGCATCATCTGCTCCACTTCGTTTGGACGCCCTTGGTAACGTTGGGCAGCATAGAAACCTTGTGCGTTGGATGCAGAGTGGGGGCGGAGAGATTCGTAGTCGCCAATCGAGTTATGACGCGAGGGAATTGTGCCCATCATGCGAGGATCTTTTGAGACATAGTTTAGGATGTGCCAACCAACCAACCAAAAAGGGGGAGTGCAATATGTATTAGGTGGGCGGATGAAACATACCATAATCCGGGTAGGGACGGCTCATCATCAAGGGCACAGAGTCCCGACGAGGAATGGCATTGAATAATTTCCCGCTCTTAACAAGATTATCAATAGCACGATCAACCTCTTCATGGCTTGTTAGTATGTTTCCACCACAAAAACAAAAACAAAAAAAAAAAAAAAAACCTACCATCAAACTGCGAAGAAAAAGCAGCCGCATCATCACGCTGGGAGGTCGAGCTGGTTCCTATAACCATTGGGAAAAATATCGTATTAGAAGAATGAGTACCCATGGATATATATAGGGACAAGCTGGCTGACAAACCTGACCGAGGAGGAACAGATTGCTCCCAGGATGCTTGGCGCATGGGAGCCTGCCATCCATGAGGTTCATAATATGCCATGATTATCGATCCAGAATGTCGGTCAAAATGCAAGGGACAACGACGCGAGCCGGCAATGGGACGAGGAAAGACAAATCGGGTCGAGTAATAGGAGTGTAGAAGTCCGCTCGGGAGGTATCGTCACCACTTTGCTTAAACCTAATCAATAACCGGGAAAGGGCTGGTAAGCAACAAGCATAGTAGTATTAGCAAGAGAGGTTAGTCCAGACAAGGTGAAAAGATAGCCGAATTCTTGTGGGACGAGGGATATTGACGGGAACACTGGATGTGACAATAGTTAAAAGGAAGAAGTGGAGAGAGAAGAGAGAGGACACCATAAGAAGAGTTGTAGTTCATGGCATTTTTAAAGGATTTCTGATGGATGACGAGGATGGATACTGCATCGGGTCCTTCGGCCTCCTCAACCTTATTTAATTTTGTTGCCTTCTGGAAGTGCCAGAGGGGATCGACATGGAAGATGCCAGAGGTACATGTAAATGCCAGGTTGCATTGGGGTGGTAGGAGGTTGAGGACATCCCCGAGGTTTTTAGAGAAAAAAAGTAATAATAATGTACTCTTAAAAAGAAACACCACAACCATAAACTCACAGCACGTACCTGTACATACAAAAAAGGAGTGCGATGCCTATAAGGCCGTGTGTATATTGGTCCCTTGGAATTACCCACCTAGCCACGCCACGAATCGATGGGAGTTAGTGACCTTCTTGCTGAGAGGTGAGAGTTCCCCTGAATATAAGCGAGGGAGCGGGGAAAGGGGGAATAATAGAGAAGACAGGGAGAGGCCAAGAGAAGAGGGATCTCTAGTGAACTTTGAAGAGCCACGGGTGATGATGAGGAGAGAGGAGAGGGAGAGGGAAAGGAGAAGGATGAGGGAGTGTGGAAAATTTGAGATTAGAGGTTGAGTGAGGTTGAGTGAGGTGTGAGTGAGGTTGAAGTTGTGGGAGAGAAGTCAGCCAGAGAGCGGCCAGTAATAGA